AGTGAAAACCTCAGATACTGTTGGTTGGTTGCTGTTGGTCTTGCACCTTTTACCAACCAAGTTTGTCGATGCAATTATAACAACACAGATCACTTTGCCTAGTCCCGCTGAAAAAGTATTTGAAAGTTGGTAATTTGTGTTTACCTTACCTTTATTGATTTATGATTCGTTCATGGGTAAAACAAAGACCATGCAGGTCAGGTAGTTGAAACGGTAGGCTACAAATGATTAATTCTTTAGGAATTAATTAATTATTCATAAATAATTAATTCACCTCCGCCTTTGACGAGGATGCTATCGTCCATCGCGATGTTTCACATTAGACATCGTACAATGCCAAATTGGTCAACATCGCCCAACCCTAAATCACCAAGTAAAAAGTGAAGTATTGACTGCACTTCTAAGGAAAATAGTGAAGTAAACTACCTCATAAAGTACAATTTCAGAGAAAAACCACTCACAAATCATTTAATACTTTACACCACTGGAGCTTAACTCAAAACAACGGCACTCTGAAGAATGAACAAGAAAGAGGAGTTATGACCAAGACTTTTTATAAAGAATTTTTATTGCTCAAATCCATGTTGATCAGCAGTACAATTCACCTACATTTAAAAACAACATGGTTAGCAAAAAAAAAAAAAAAAAAAGATCAGCTCTCAGTCCCCTCCCCCAATTCGACTACCCGCTATCCAGCTGAGGGGACACGGCAGGCAGTGCAGCGAGCCCAGTCTCTGTTTCACATCGCTCCAAACGAACTAATGCGAGAAGCTAGAGAGCTGCGTAGGAATGAATCTGCCGTGGAAAAGGCGCAAACAAGTTTTCACAGCCTAGGATTTGCGTTGATTTCTCATGCATCGCTCTGATTTCCTGCTCTCATCCCGAGTTAAACACACTATGCATCTACAGCTGTGTCTGCAGTCTATTCTAGTATATAAAAAAAAAACATAGAACAGCACTTACTTTTAAGTTTCCACTCACCCTAAAAGCTTTAGGGCCCAAAGCAGACCATGATGAGATTTCATGCCAACACTACAAACAACAGCTACCCTAAACTGACCTGATTCGTTCGACTTACATTAGCTATGACTTGTGGCCTGAAGATAATGCAAAGGCCTCAGTTCTCTCTAGCGTTATGTTACAGGATATCATAATGGATAGTGAGACTTTAATTCCCAGACTACAGAGACGATATAACAGTGTGATGTTAGTTAATGCATGTATCGACTAATGCTTCCGTAAGTTAAATACTGATGCACACCTGACAAAGCTCTGAAATACAAACTCTTAAGAAAACCACTGTAGAACGTTAGGTGTCTATCAACAGCGTGGCGTGTTACAGTTACAATAACAGTTAAAAGTGATCTGAGTTATCAAACTGCTACACAACCTGAACTCCATCAATGAGCAAACACCTGAGATTAAGCAGAAAGTCTATTATTCAAGGGGAAATAGCAGCCTCGTCTGGCTACACAGAGTCAAGAACCGTAAGGGACCAGCTTCTTGAGTGAAAGTTCGTTAGAAACTTGATCTAGAAGAAGCCTTTAACTAACAGAAACACCTTCTGCACCTGATATCTGTGCTACTCTTTGAGGATAAGTTCGTACGAGTTGCTTCAGTAGGTAAAAAAAAAAAAAAGTACTAATTATACAATTTACACAGGTCTACAGTAACACACTACTACCGAAAATGGTTAAATGGTAAAACTAGAAGTGGAACAGCTTGCAGTTCAGTCCATAGACAATCCATGTGGATTATTGTATGAAAGCAAACCAGCATTGCGAGTACACACACACACCTGAACCTGACATATTGACCGTCTATTGCAGGGGTGTCCAAAATCAGTCCTGGAGCGCCGGTGTCCGGCTTATTTTAGTTCCAACCCCAATTAAACACAACTGATCAGCTAATCAAGCTCTTTCCAGGTATACTACAAACATCCAGAGTGGTGTGTTACACTAAACTAAGCAGGATACTGGCCCTCCAGGACTGAGTTTGGACACCCCTGGTCTATTGTCTTCCATCTTTTGAGAGGTAACACGTATGAACAGTAACCGGCGACAGATCCACTGAAGTCAGAGCAGATCTGAGGCGACAAAAATACCTGCATTTGTGATTTCCATGCGATTATAATGAACACTTTTACCAGACACAGTGATTTATTTCATTAAGAAATGCTTTTTTTGTCATATATATCATCCCAGGTTTGTCTTGTGAAAGGCCTTGTTTAAAAAAACTATGTTGATTGTAAAATTTGGTCTGAGTGTTCTGTAATATTCCTGAATTTATACTCATATTAATTAAATGTAAAGAGCAAACTGCTTTACAATTCAGAAGACATAAGTGCTCCTGGATAACATTCATTCTTTTTTTAATAATACATTTTATTGATCTAGACAACAGTACAAAGTATCCACATTCAGAACCCCTTTTGGGTAAGTAGTCCTTTAATTTAAGGGGTAATTCACTCAAACATGAAAAGTTGCTATTAATTTATTCACCCCCAGGTCAGCTTTTTCTTCAGCAGAACTTTAAAGAATGTTTTGATTGTTTCCCTTCAAAAGACTTCAATACACATTATGTGCCACGGGTGTTCATTTAGTTTTACCTGTGTTTTTTGACTCTTAAAATGTGGCTAACCATTGACTCCCGTTTTAAAAATCACCAAGGACCATAGATTCAGCTAAAAACCTTTTCAAATGTTCTAGTGAAGAAAAATTCTTCCAAGTCATGAGAATGAGAAAATTAGAGCAAATTGAAACATTTGGTTGAACTGTTCCCTTAAGGCCTGTTCACACCAAGTATCATAACAATAACTAAATTTTATTTAAATAACTAAATTTGCATTGTTTATTATAACTCTGCACATCACTTTTGTGACCTGCCTCTTTAAAAATTCAAGCTTAAAGTGTGATTGCTGTTAAAAAATGAAAATAAGTTTTGCGATTGTCTCCCAAATAATAATGTAACTTTTTGTTACTATGGAGCAAGATCGGATTTACAAAATAAAACTTACACATGCACAGCACAATTCAAATTTACAAAATCCAATTTGTAAACACAAAACACAATTCATAAATACAACACACAAATTGTGAAATGAAATCACAAGTAAAAATCATAAATATTTTCACCAAATGAATTGGATTTGTGTATTTTTGAATCGTGTTTTGAATCTATAAATTGGATTTGTTTATTTTTGAATCGTGTTTTGAATCGATGAATTGGATTTGTGCATTTTTGAATTGTGTTTTGAATCTATGAATTGGATTTGTTTATTTTTGAATCGTGTTTTGAATCTAGGAATTGGATTTGTTTATTTTTAATTCGTGTTTTTAATCTATTAATTAGATTTGTTTATTTTTGAATCGTGTTTTGAATCTGAATTGGATTTGTTTATTTTTGAATCGTGTTTTGAATCTATAAATTGGATTTGTGTATTTTTTGAATTGTGTTTTGAATCTATAAATTGGATTTGTTTATTTTTGAATCGTGTTTTGAATCTATAAATTGGATTTGTTTATTTTTGAATCGTGTTTTGAATCTATGAATTGGATTTGTGCAGTTTTGAATTGTGTTTTGAATCTAGGAATTGGATTTGTTTATTTTTAATTCGTGTTTTTAATCTATTAATTAGATTTGTTTATTTTTGAATCGTGTTTTGAATCTGAATTGGATTTGTTTATTTTTGAATCGTGTTTTGAATCTATAAATTGGATTTGTGTATTTTTTGAATTGTGTTTTGAATCTATTAATTGGATTTGTTTATTTTTGAATCGTGTTTTGAATTTATGAATTGGATTTGTTTATTTTTGAATCGTGTTTTGAATTTATGAATTGGATTTGTTTATTTTTTAATTCCTGTTTTAGATCTATAAATTGGATTTGTGTATTTTTTAATCGTGTTTTGAATCTATGAATTTGATTTGTTTATTTTTGAATTGTGTTTTGAATCTATATATTGGATTTGTTTATTTTTGAATCGTGTTTTGAATCGATGAATTGGATTTGTGCATTTTTGAATTGTGTTTTGAATCTATGAATTGGATTTGTTTATTTTTGAATCATGTTTTGAATCTGTGAATTGGATTTGTGCATTTTTGAATTGTGTTTTGAATCTATTAATTGGATTTGTTTATTTTTGAATCGTGTTTTGAATCTATGAATTGGATTTGTGCAGTTTTGAATCGTGTTTTGAATCTATGAATTGGATTTGTTTATTTTTGAATTGTGTTTTGAATCTATGAATTGGATTTGTTTATTTTTGAATTGTGTTTTGAATCTATGAATTGAATTTGTTTATTTTTGAATTGTGTTTTGAATGTATAAATTGGATTTGTTTATTTTTGAATCGTGTGTTTTAAATCTACAAATTAGATTTGTGTATTTTTGATTTCTATTTTGAATCTATGAATTGCATTTGTGCATTTTGTAATCGTGTTTTGAATTTACGAATTGGATTTGTGAAATTTTGAATCCTGTTTTAAATCTACAAATTGGATTTGTGTATTTACAAATTGTGTTTTGAATTTTCAAATATGATTTTGTACATGTGAATTGTGTTATGGATGTATAAATTATATTTTGTACATGTATTATTTTTGAGACTGATCTGGCTTCATATACTATCTGGTCGTCACTGTTTCACATGCATCTAACCATGTGATTGTTTAAAACCAAATAATGTCAGAACTATTGCTTTAAACAACACCCATGTCATCTTAGGTGAAATTATACTTCGACCCACAGGCTGAGAGCTGTAGTTTAACTTACATAGTTGCTGGAACTATGGTTTTAGAAATTACAAAATCACTGAACTGACCATAGTTGGCTAGCAATGGTTTTAAGAAACATCCCAGAGTGTGATTTCAATGATACAGCTTCTCTGTGCATTGAATTTTTTTTTTCTTAGTTTTTCACATTAGCCTTGGTATGAACAGGTCTTAGGGCTCATTCATACAGAACGCATTTTTCCCATTCAAATGTGCTACTTTTCCATTGTTTTTCAGTCAGTGCACTTGACGAACTTAAATGATCGTTATGTTTGCATCTTTAGGTGCGCCGCACACGAGCGCTGCTTTTTTTGGATGCAGTGTCAAATTTAAAAAATTTTACTTTTGCGCAAAGTACTCATCGGCATCAGATCCAAATCAGTTGACCCATCAGAAGAACTGGTGGGAGGGGCAAGTATTGCAAGTTTCATTTTACAGTCACTCAATAGCTGTGTCCAGATATGCTTATGCTTGACACTGCACTTTAAAAAAAACAACAACCCTGAGCAAAGACGCATTCTGTGTGAATAAGCCCTTACATATTTTACAAATGATGAGGTTGAAGAACCCAGCAACTTCACAAAGTTTAGAAAGCTTTAAGATCTGTTCCTCTTTGTTAGATAGACCTGAAGACAAGATCCGTTTTTTAACGTTTTAGATTTTTTAATTATTATTATTATTATTATTATCATCACCATTTAAAAGAAACCGTTTAAAACTTTCAGTTTACAAGGTATACAAAATGTGGGGTGGAACAAAAGGGAAACTGGGATTGGATTGAGGTACCCTGACGCCTGAGGTAGATCACAATACTGACATGCGCAGCGATCGCATTCTGATCAAAGTGTTGCGGCGATTCATTACTGTTCTTACTGTTAGTTTACTACCAATATTCATAGTCTACTTCCAAGAAAATAAACACTTCCCTTCAGAGAAACATGGCAGTGTTCCAAAAAAAAGAGAGAGTTGTTTGTCTTTTAATAGCTCTCGTCACAAAATAGGAAACAAAAAATAGATTCATAAATATTTCTCTCTCTTTATATATATATCTATATACAGACACGCATACACACAAATGGAAGCTGTGCGTATTGGCATAAACCTTATGTCTGGAAGATGAGGCTTAGCTCTCGTTGGGCGAGGGAGCTGTCTGTGATGTCATAGACCGGTGACGTTTAAGGCCACAAGCTTCCATGGTCAAAAAAGAAGAAAAATTTTAAAAATAAAGCACAAAGGGACATCCTTGCCTGCACGTCCTACTAAAAAAATTGCTCAGTTTCCCCACAAAGGAATATAAGAATACCATCTTCCTGACCAACTAGCTCACTGAACATGACAGGGTGGTGCGCTTTCTAAAAGGCTGCTTATTGTACATTCACAGCTGTCATGCCATTTAGAAAGCTCCCTGACAGAGATTTAAAGCCAAACGCGGTCATGTGTGTACCACAGGTGCCTCCTTGTCCTACATCAACCTGACTCTCCAATCACATTTTGAGTTGCCCGTCTTTTCAGCATAGATTAAGGCAGAGTTCTTGATGCACATTCCATTTCGCTTCTGCCCAAGCCAGTAAAGGTGCACTGTCTTTCAGACGCTGGTGCTTGCTTTGCTTTACATTGTTTTCATACCCCCTAAAACAAACAAGGGGGTGGTGACTTTTGAATTCAAAACTACTACATACCAAGCCCGTCTCGCAATGACTTTCGCCATGATAACATGGCAGAGGTAAAATTTACCAACTGCAAAAAACACTGGTGTAAAAAACGAAAATGAAAAGGGAGTGTAAGAGCTGAATAGAAGTACAAACGATAAAAGCTAAAAAAACGAAAGTAAGAAATGTTTCAACGGCATCCGACGCCACGCACAGGCCTAAGTAACAAAAATCTGTGGCGCTATATGTATCCTGAAATGCAGACTAAGATAAGAGTAAACGTTCTTCATTAACATTTCCCAACGTTCACGTCCCATCGTCAAAAGAAATTGAAAATATGTGCACTACACGCTCGATGGCTTGTGCCAGAACCGAACTCCCGCTTCGTAAAACAGTATTTTGTTCTAGTGTATTGAATACTGCTGAGGATCATTGAAATAGCAATCTGAAAAAAACTAAAATCGGTTACCATCTGCTAGTGCACACCCACTTTACCTACCCAAGAAAACAGCAACACAACTCAGTCAAAATGCATCAGTGTACATGTGTTAATGGAGCTTCTCATCTGTGTTAACCCTAGATTAAGCCTAAATTAAGGAGGTTATAAAGAAAATTGTTAAATGGGGTGAGCGTGATTTCCCCCATTACCTGTTCTTCTCATACTCAGGGTTGTTTTTGAACAATTGTCTTCCTGGCGTTCCCTCTCCCCGTCCCTCCCTCCCCAAGCTGGCAGTGCATTCAGAGCCCTTCGGCCTGTGGCTCCTTCATCTCCCCTAGAAAGAAGTTCTTTGGTTTTGATCCCACGGCTGCTGGTCTGCCCGGCCGGTCCCCTGTGCCCGGTCTGGTCTGGTTCCAGTTGGGAGGGCTACATTCATTGGCAGGTGCCCGCTGGGGCTGCCCTGATGGTCACTTGGAGCGGGGTGTTGTGGGTGCGCCTTGCTGGTGCTTCTGCTCCTGTTGTTTCACCTGCTGGATGATCTCCCTGATTTTCCTCTGTGCAGTCTGTGGGACCAGATGAGACACACGTTTGTTGTGGTAAATGTTGGGCTTTGCTTTATATTCAACAGAAGAGTGCATGAAGACATTTTGATTTTGCCATTGACCAATTTAAGGTGATTGTACTTTCAGATAATTGAACAGTATTCCCAGTACAGTTCATGACAGAAAGTTGTGATCAAAGTTTGCTGTAGAGAGTGAGGCAGGCTGAGAGCCGTGAGAGTGTACAAGGTCAGTGGCAGGAGTGTTAACGACTGTCACTTTTGTGCACCACCTGTCTCAAGTCTCACTGAGGAGCTCTGGAAACTTAAAAGGACCAGGGGCCTCATGTATCAACACTGCCTACGCAAGATTTCACGCTCACATTTGGATTCACTAATGAAAAAACTAACGTGAGAATGTGCGTTGGTTCACGCTAAATTCATGTCTGGTGTACGTCCATTTCTTGTGTGTGTTTGTTTTATTTCCATTGGCGACTCTTAGAGGCAATAGTGCAAGTCAAATTGCACACTACAAAGTATATTTGAGCCGTGCAATGGCAGCTGTATGGGACGGAATCATCCGCATGTCTAGCAGGTATATAAGGTTTCCATACCATGCAGTTGACCAGCCAAATATTCAAGCGACATTTGCAGCAATCGTCGGTTTTCCCACTGTAATCGGAGCCTTCGACTGCACGCACATTGCTATAAAGGCACCATCTGAAGACAAATTTGCATACGTGAATCGGAAACATTTAGACACTACAAAACAATAGATACTACAAAATGTTACACCTTTTTAATTCACTCACGGTGTGATGTTCAGACCCCACTGCGTTAACTGCGTCAGCTAAACTCTCCCACTTTTTTTTCTTTTATTAATTCTGGATGACAAACTTGCAAATAACACAGTTTTTCTCCGGTCTACATCCGATAGGAGCACCTCCAATTCACATTCCATTCAAAGTTTCTCTACTTGCTTGCTTTTGCCATTGCTTTTTTACTTGGTTTTTCATTACCATATTTATTAGGGGGAGGAGGCAGGGAGGGTTTTTGTGCTCGCGCACGTGCGCTTAGTGACACGTTAAAGAAAATATGCGTGGGATTCCGCGTACGCAGTGTTTCATACATCTGAATTTTTTACTGCATACGCACATTTACAGCTTTGTGCGGACACAATGTTTTAGTATGAATTCAATGCAAGTCTTCGTACATGAGGCCCCAGGCCTGGACACTTGTCACCTATCACTCGGTGCAATGGGGCGCAAAGGCGCGACGCAATTTTTGTTTGCTAGTTTTAGCTTGGCGCAAGAGTCGTTTTGACGTTTTACACCAAGCTGTTTGAATAGCAAATACATTTGCGCCATTATGTGCGCCCATAGGCATTCTGGTCTAAAAAAGGAGGCGTGTTGAGGCACATTTGGCACGTTGCTGTTTTGGGAAACTATAATGGACTGTTCTATAGACCAGAACAAAGCCGGTCTGTTGTCCAGCTCAGAGCGTGTTAGTTGTGCGCCTCGCTTACACACTGCTTAATACAGACAGGATGTAGAACAATATGCAAATATTTTTACATATGAAAACTAATTAAAACATTAAGGATGTATATAGGATATAATAAGGATATATATATAGGATATAAATATAAAGAATCAAAATATTACAAAACTTATTTCATATTATTTTCTAGTCTACATAAATATAAAAACCATACTTTCATGCCTTCTTCATCTCGGGGGGGCTTTTTCAGTTTATTCATAACAATTTGCTTTTGTATAATGTTATTATAATTAGCAATATTATTTAGCAATATTATTTATTGCATATGCATATTTATATTTGTTTTATTAAAAACAAGCTGAGATTTGCCCACCTGTCAGGTTTTAGACCGGATGGGGCACAGCATGTGTATTTGGATATAACTCCGTTTTTTGACCACACTTTGTTATTATTGTTCATTTATTTGTTTGCTGGAAATTAGAACTGAATTTAGAAATAGTTTTGAAACAGATCTTTGCACTCAACAATGAAATTAATTAATTTATTAATAAATTAACTAATTAATTAGGCTAATGGATGTGTGTGTAAAAGAATTTTCCCTATCCACGAGAGTGAAAGTGAAAGTAAATATTAAAGAGGTTTATCTTTCATTCTCGTGCTGCAGATGCTTTGTTTAACTGTTTTCTCTCTAGTAAAATTTTCAGTTTTTCCACTTACAAAGTCTGTCATGTAAATAGCAAATGCGCTATGGCGCGGCACCTGGCTTTTAAAGGAAATAGGAGATCAGACTCTGATTGGTTTATTTTCAAAACACACACTTAACACTTTATGAGAATAACCTCAACCCTTTTAGACCATGCACCACGGCGCAAAGTGGATTTTTCCGTCCTTAAAATAGTAAAAGTGGATTCTGACACGTCCTTAATGCTTTTGCGCCCTGCGCTTTGCGCATGGATTGTCAAAACAGAGGTCTTTATGTTTGTTTGTTTTGTGTAATGTTTGTTTTGCTTTTAGTGTAGTGGTAGTCACAGTGAGGGGCTGCTGCCACCTGTTTGTTTTGATTATTTACATTATTAAAATTTAAAGTTGGTCAGTTCTCCGGCTCCTTTTTATTAAAATCACACATTGTGGCTTTTGCACATCATTTCAAATGTAGCCATGCACTTATATAGAGGACGTGGCACACTTTCCACACATTAAGGCTGCATTTACACTGCATGGTTTAAGTGGCCCAATTTTGATGTTTTTCTCCCATGTGGTAAAGATCGGATATGGCCCTAAAAATCACATGAATAAAGATTTACTCAAATCAGATTCAGGCCTTGTTCATATATAGAAATTTATCTGGTATGAATCAGATTCGTGGCCTCATGTCCATGGTGTAAGCAACTAGATCGGATTTTCATCTGTCAATGCAAGTCATGCAACATTAAAAACCATAGTGATTGAGGTAACCTCTGACTCTTAGTCCCAAACCTTAAATTTCATTTATAAGGATTAAAAAAGTTTTAATTTTGTCATCTAGCACAAGTATTTAAGCATGTTATTGAGAGAGAGAGAGAGAGAGAGAGAGAGAGAGCAATATCCGCCATGTAACAAATATAAACTAATATAAAATTGTATCAAACGTCACATGCATAAATCCCACCACGGACATTACAATAAGATGCCTATGGGTTTAAAAAGGCCTAAATTAAAAGAAGATGTCAAAATGAGAACTTTTCTGTCATAAACTGTAGTGAAACAACTTGTCAAAAATAATTAAGAAAAAAAAAATTAAACCCTGTTAACACATTCAAAGCAGGAATGGAGAAAAGAGAACTCTTTAATTATCAGCTGTGAGTCAGTGCCCGCTTTTTGTTTTTCCTGCTCATAGCGCCCTTGCTGTGTGCTGTTTAAATACAGACAATCAGATACGAGTCACTTTTAAAAGATAAAGAAAGCAGGTCAGCAAAAAAATAGGTTACAGTCACAAAATCAGAATTGACCATCAAGATCTGCAGAGTAAAAGCAGCCTTAGACGTGACAGGTAAACGGTCTAGTAAACAACAATGGAGGACATACTGCAGATCATGAAGAAGAAGATGGCAATCTGTGTGCATAGTTCTTTGATGTGCACCATCAATGTATTATTACGGTGTTGTGTATCAATGTGTATTTAAAAATGTGTTGTGTTCTCTTGTCTTGTTACAAGTTCTGGTGACGATTCTCAGTAAACCAAGTCTAACTCCACACTTTTGGTAATGTACTGTTATGCTAAATAAAAAATAAAAAAAGGGGTATGATCCAGTTTGCTATTTTGGTACCTTTCCCAGTGGTAATAAACATAAATGCAGAGTGTATTGTACTGTATCATACTGCACCACTCATTATTATTATAATGTAATCCTTGTAAAAGAATGTTTACAAGAAGGTGTCTGGTGCATATATAGAGTAGAGTGTCTCCTACATGTAAATTACTGGTTAGGAAAAAACACATATTACCATAAATAAAATGCTTTTTGCACTGGTTTGGGACCCTGTATTCCATGGCTTTAGAATCAGGATATGTAGTGGTGAGTCATGTATAGTTTACCTGGCTGGCAAAGAAATGTCCACTGATTTTGACAAACACTTCATCGTTCTCGTCTGGGGTTTGGTCCCGTGGCACTATGACCTCTGCACTGGTTAAGTTCTGCAGCTCGTTCACCTGAAAGATGTTCAGAGAAACAAGATGAACACATCAGTACCTACTCATAATGTCAACCGGGTCAAAATGTGCAAATGCAGACTCGCACAAGAACAAACAGCACATTTGCAGCTGCTCATCTGTAAATGACCTCAACACCAAGCAACAACTCGCTACTCCACAAATGATCCAAAAACAAGCTCTTCTTTTTGGAAACAAAACATCCAGTTCCTAAAAACACATAATAACCCTGACTGAAACGGGTCACGCTGATTTGGATTGACCTTTCCTGTTCAAAGCCTTAGAAAGTTATTTAGCATAAACAAACTTTATGTTTTATTATTTTTTTTACCTTTAAAACACTTACAAAAAGCTTTAATAGACCAATAATAGATGTATAACAACATTTTGATAAAGCACTTTACTTTAAAATATTAATAATATTATAATACTAAGCCTTCAAGCATAATACATTTTAGTTGTTGTTTTTTTACTTTTAAATGGCTAAAAAAAGCTTTCACGGACTAGAAAGCCATAATAAAGTTCTGCCAATCCTTTCACAGATATTTTAGCCCTCAAATGAACTTGCAGATCAAAATATGGAAAAATGAATGAGGTACAGCTGAAGTCAGAATTATTAGCCCCCCATTGAATTTTTTTTAAATGTTTCCCAAATGATGTTTAACAGAGCAAGGAAATGTTCACAGTATGTCTGATAATATTTTTTTCTTTTGGAGAAAGTCTTATTTGTTTTATTTCGGCTAGAATAAAATCAGTTTTACATTTTTTTAACACAATTTTAGGGTCAAAATTATTAGTCCTTTTAAGCAATTTTTTCGATAGTCTACAGAACAAACTACCATAATAAAATAGCTTGCCTAATTACCCTAACCTGCCTAGTTAACCTAATTAACCTAGTTAAGCCTTTAAATGTCACATTAAGCCAGGGGTCACCAACCTTTTGGAAACTGAGAGGTACTTCTTGGGTATTGTTTAATGTGAAGGGCTACCAGTTTGATACACACTTCCTAATAACAAATTTGCTCAATTATTATTAATAATTAATGATATTCATCTATGTGAAGACACTGATTATATTAATGATTTCTCACAATAGTTGTCAACATTGATTGGAAACAGATACATATTAATATGCAACACTTCATTTGTCTGAAATTGTTTTTAAAGTTTTTTTAATATATAACTTAAAGTCATTTTCAATTTTACACCAATGCAAGTGTGATTTAAAAAGAATAGCTACAAAAAATATTAGATGCAGCGGTATGTGGTCCTATGGTAAGCTAATTTTATAACAGGCCCACGGGCAACTCATGTGATCCTCGCAGGCTCCATGTTGGTGACCCCTGCTTTAAGCTGTATAGAAGTGTCTTGAAAAATATCTAGTCAAATATAATTTTCTGTCATCATGGCAAAGATAAAATAAATCAGTTATAAGAAATGAGTTATTGAAACTATAATGTTTAGAAATGCGTTGAAAAAAAATTCTGCGTTAAACAGAAATTGGAGAAAAAAAATAAACAGGGGGGCTAATAATTCTGACTTAACTGTACATAGACAGGGTTACTGCGGTATTCACCAAGCCAAACTTAAGACTTTTTAAGACCTTTATAAGACTATTGGGAATTAAAGTTCACACTTATGCATGACTAAACGCTAAGAAGTTTTCTCTAATGTCCTACTTGGTCCAATGGAAAATATTTTTACTTGCCTCATTAACATCAAGTTCATAGCCACTAATTTCAAAGAATGCATTAAAACAAACAACCCCTAGTTGTATAAATGCTTTTTTTCCAACTTATTTTTTTCTTAAAACTATAATAAACAATGTATGAACAACAGTCTGTCCAGACGTTTTGTTAAAAGTTTTATTGAGATGTGTTGTTGGTGAATGGATGTGTCAGCCCAATTGTGTAGCTTTACATGGAGATCAAAAAATTAAGACACATCTAAAATTATTTAAGACCTACAAGACAATATTTTAGTGAAATTGAAACTTTTTAAGGCCTAAAATATAGTTTTTTAACTATAAGACATTGTAAGACTTTAAGACCTTGTGGAAACCCTGCATATATTAAAACAACGATTATCAAAATCATTAACAGCATTTCCATAATTTGTTCAGGTGGCATGTGTGGGCACTAAGGAATTCTTCACACCACATTAACGTAGATTAATTACCGATGTTTCCATTATTTAACAATGAAGGATTTATTGTTTTTGAGAAAGCCATTTTATGAATGCTTTATGAATACTTAGAATCATTATTTACTGTTGCAAACACATTTGACTGGATTCATAATGGTGCATAATGAAAGAAATATTGACAATGTAATAAGAAAACAGTTGTTCTGGATGTGCAACACTACATCTTGTTAGAAAGCTCTAAACTATTTTTTAAAATATATTTAAAACTTAGAGTACGTCTGACATTAGAAACTAAATCTAACTCTAAATCTATCTATAAAACGAAAACATTAATTAATAAATAAATATACCACATTGTTCACTCCTGGTTATTGTTGTTCCAAAACACTGAACATTTAATGCTAAGCCTCATTTCTGTTGATGTGGATGACATTAAATACAGATGTAAACAAAGTCTAAAATGTTTTTTGCTTCTACATATAATTATTACCTTGAAGAGAAAGTTGACCCAAAAATGTACATTTACTCACTGTTTACTGACCCTTAGGAGATTTCAAACCATAATGACTTTCTTTAGTCTGTTCAACAAAAAAAGAAGATTTTTGAAGAGGGTAAGAAACCGATTACCAATGACTTCCGCAGAATGAAAACCAAATATTATGGAAGTCAATACTTACCAGTTTTGTTTCAAAAGTACTTATTTTATGTTCAACAAAAAATTCAACTCATAAAAGTTTGACAAATGAAGGGTGAGTAAATGACAGAATTTTGAGTGAACTACCCCTTTATTTCAGAGTAATCATCCTACTAGGTTGGCACTTCACTGGTTGTTTCTACTTCTATAATCTAGCAGATTCTCACCGTTTTCCCTCCTTTCCCTATAACCCTCCCAGCTGCTGAAGATGGCACTTTTATATGCGTCTCCAGCTTTACTTCTTCTTTTGCAGTAAAGAAGTTCTCCTCTTTCAGTTTTCCAAATATCCTGCCCTGCGCCTGAAACACAAAAGCAGAGACAATCTTCATGACAGGGTACAACATGGCATAAGACCTATACATTTATCTTCACTCACACTCTATTCAATTTAAATATGTCTTTAATGGTCAAACACTTTGAGGTCATGGGGGAAAAAAACCCATTCCATTTCACTCAAATTGAATTTAAAGTCAATGTAATATCAAAATGTACTCTTTTTATTTTTATTTGTAAATAGTAGTGCTTGTTATAAACAATGTATTTGTGCACTTTATTATTTTGTAATAATAATAATAATAATTATAATAATAATAATAATAATAATAATAATAATAATAATAATTTGCCTTCTTTTGAAAATCTTTCATCAAATGTCATAATCCTTTAAAATAATTTGCTTATCAAAAAAAAAAAAATAATAAATTATATATATATATATATATATATATATATATATATATATATATATATATATATATATTTTTTTTTTTTTTTATTTATTTATTTTTTTTTTGCTAATGTTCCCATTTTAGTTGACACATTATTTCAACTTTCCCATTGGTATACTATGTAAACACATGCTTGATGGCCACATTGAGATGCAGTGTCAAGTAAAAAAATAAATAAAATCTACTTTTACAAGCAGCGACGCTCATCAATGTCAGTTCCAAAGCAGTGGACGAATCAGAAGAAACTTAAAGGTGAGACAAGTTTTAGGAGCTTCTGTTTACAGGCACTAAGCGGCTGTGTCCAGATAAACCCAGGCACTCTGTTCCACATTTTTAAAACACTGCGTCTCACATTTTTAGTTGCAAAGACGAATTCTGTGTCACTGGTCCTTAAACAATCTGAATCAAGTAACATTTAAAACATGTTGAATGAACAACAACATTCCAGAACACTTCATTAAACGTTTAATAACATCTTTGTCCTAATATTTTTAGAACATTAATGAATGCTAAATGCTTCAAGTCTGATTAAACATTCTATTAACGTAACAAGAGCATGTGCTCATTACTTTGATTCTTTAATACAACATACAACTTGGCAGCTAGGAAATGTTCTCAGATCTTCTAGCAGGGTTTTTTCAAAGTTCCTTTACCTTAAACTGAGCTTCTGGTGGGCCAGTGATGATGACCATCCTCTGAGTGACATCAGGACTCTCTGCGGGAGCGATCTGAACACGAACAACAGCGAAACATCATTTTGAGAAAAAGGTTTGTTATTTAAACAATATCTCTTTCATTTCTAGCGCTGCACATGAAGTGTGCACTGTGATATGTTGTTCATTTTTAGAAACATCAACAAATCTATATACACTAAATTTAATTAAAAAAATCGGGACAGGATTCATAACAGCTATTTTCTCTTGAAGTTACATTACATAGCCACAAGAGGGCTCTGTGCTCAATCAAACCAAATGCAATGAAATGTGACTCTGGGGTAGAGATGCGCGGATGGGCTATTATTTAATCCGCAACCGCATCACAAAACTCATCATCCGTCCGACATCCATCCGCACTAACATTTATGACCAAATTTTAAAACCGCACCCGCCCGTCATCTGCTGACTGAGCTCTTTATTTGAATGGCTTATTCCTTTTTATTATTAAATAAATGTTTCTTTATTGATTATTAGCAAATAGAGGTTGACTTTAATGACATGCAGTTAATCCAAACGTGCAAGTCAAATCCAGCATTAATTGACGCTTTGAAGTGACGCTAAACAATACGAGGACGTGTCGTTTCACTTGATTCGATTCCTCGGTCCTTGAGTCTTTTCCTTGCGTCCTTCCCTCGCATCCTATAGGGGTGGAAAGACGAGGAAAGAAAGCAAAGAAAGGAAACGAGGATACACAAATAAGAAATACCACTATAAAGCTCTCAGAATATCAGCAGTGAACTCCGTCTCCAATTGGCGCACAGGGACAAAAATAAATAAATAGCCTAAATTAAACGCACTGTACTGTACAATCATTGTGGACACATCATTTCAACATTCAGACGAGAGCGCCTGGCCTCTAATGCGCCCTGCTGCACTGAAGGAGCGCTCGCTCGCAGCACTTGTTGCTGGAATGCATAGAATTCTCTTGGCAAGGTGCTGTACACGTGGGAATGACTGCCTTGTTTCTCCCAAAGGAAAGTAGATTTTCCTCTGCTGATCCGTCTATACGGAAGTTTGTAGATGAAGACTTCTGTACTTCATCCAGAATTAGTGTATCCGATTCCTAATCTCATTCTGTGAAGTCAGTCCTAGGCTTTTTCGTTGGTGCGCCAGCTATGTGTACAAAAACAGTACAACCGCCCACCACCCGCCCGAATTTAATTAAAATATTATTTTTCGTCACGTCATCCGCCCGATCCGCGGTTTATCCGCGGATTCCGCGGCTGTAACCGCCATCCGCGCATCTCTACTCTGGGGTACAAAACCTTCAATTGTTGCAAGGGATTATTTTAGCTAATAGTCAAAAATACAAAGTATGAGTCAAAATTATAGATTTTATGCCAAAAAATGTTGAGTAAAAATCATGTTCCATGAAGATTTTATTTGTAAATTTCCTACCGTAAATATGTATATAAAAAGTAAATTTTTTGACTAGTAATATGCATTGCTAGAGCTTTTCAAGTAGATGTATCTCACCCGAATATTGTCCAATCCTCACAAACCACACATCAATAGAATGCTTTTTTATTCAGATTTCAGATGATGTATAAATGTTAATAAAAAAATAAATAAAAATGACACTTATAACTAGGCCCATGGTCGCATATTTTACAAAATTTCTGCTTTTAAGACTACCGTAACGTGCTGAATTTTTTTATTTGACTTCACAGGACATACAAATGCAGTTTATGTGAAAATAATATTTCAAAAAAGTCTTTCCAAAACAACTTACAGATCTCAAACTTGAATGGCGGTGTAATACTCACACTCTTAAATAAAATTTGAAGCTGAGGGCTTTATGGATGACTGCTAAACCATGGCTAAATCTGAGCATGATATGGTCACATTCAAGTCATGATCTCAGCTTAACTAAATGAATAATTGTGCTTCATGTAGGAAAAGCACACGAGGAACCTTCATTTCACAGATTAGACATGACAGCAGTGGCATTTTGGCAGGCAGGAACTCCTACCTTAATAGAGGCTCCTGCAAATCGCGCCAGTTGTTTTATATGTTGGCCCTTCTTGCCAATAATAGCACCAACAGCCTGAGTTGGAATAAAGAGGTAGACCACCTCCTGTTCAGGAGCCTGCTGTGGAGAGGCCAGAAAAATGTTAAAAATGGCATCTCATTTAGTCCCATGCTGTAAATCAGGAATAAAGTCAAGCATTTGAGGCAGATTCACAGTATAGTAATGATTAAAATGAATGAAATTGGACTGGGAGATTTGGCCTAAAATCCAAATCTGTATTAATGGAACATTTTCACTCGATTACGATTAATGATCGATTATTTTATTTATAATTTTTTCCCCTCATAGTTCACTGACAAGTTTTGTACATTAAATATGCTCACATATTACAAGAGAGAAATTTTTGAATGAAGGATCCATTAGTTGATTTTAAAATAAATGAAGGAAACACACACTCTACTAGATCTACTATCTAGGATTATTTATTGAACATCAATGTTGAACGACTAAACACACATTGCCTAAAACCAACAGTCACGTTTTTCTAATAAAAAAGTAAAAATAAATAACTTGAACTTTTTGAATCAAAACTACTTATATCCAATGTTTTTCATATTAAAAGTAGAAAAAAATAACTCTTGTATATCCTGTAATATTTTAACAGTGCATTTCTTGAATCTTGTGTAAACAAATATTTTATTGTAAATGATCATTTTATTGTAATGAAAAATATGCTGTCTCAAGGCAACTTCCAGTCATCGTCAATGTATTGCAAACATGTTACATTTTAAAAGAGGTGCGCGGGTATGCGATCGCACGTAGGCTGTGCTGGACCACACCCGTGCGTTTGGCACAGAAGTATAAAACACATGTGGTAGGGAAAGTAATAAAAAAAAATTCAACTGGAAAAATTTGATCGATTATAGGTTCTTGTCGATTTTGATTACTTTTTTAATTAATCACCCATCCCTATATATCCTCATATAATATTTAAACAAATATATCTTCTAAAACTCTACTATTATAAATTTTAATTGTATTAAAACAATCAAATACAAAGTATATAAAATGAATAAAATGTGATAAACTATGAATTACTGTGGCAACCCCTGATAAATAAAGGACTAAGTCGGAGGAAAATGAATGAATGAATGAATTAATTAATTAATTAATTAATTAATTAATTAATTTATGTAAATAAAATACTATATATTTAAAGTACATGAAGTGAAAACAAGCAAAAATTTAATTCACATTAGCCACATCAGCCTAATCTTTTTAAAGTTTGCAAAAAGAATAAACCGAAAACTTGAATTTGATGCATTTCCATGAAGTCATTAGAGCAGCTTAGGCCGTACTCACACTAGGTACAGTTGCCTCGAACCGGGCCAAAGCACGCTTGTCCCCCCTCCCGTCTCCCCCGACGGCCCGCGCTCACACCATATCGGGCCTCGGCACGCTTACGTCATCGCTGCTGCGCTGTTCAGAAGCGCTCTCTATGGCAAGCCTTTTTAGCATTTAAATCTTTGTTCTGACTCCATAAATATATTTCGAGATATCTCTAATTATATTTTGACTAGTCATAATTATAATTCGACTAGTCAGAATAACAATTAGAGATATCTGCAATTACAATTGTACTAGTACGAAATCAGATTGGAGATATCTGCAAATATATTATGACTGACTAGTCATATTCCTACATTGACTTCCATTGAAAAATATTTGCAGATATCTCTAAATGAGTTTTGACTAGTCACAATTGTAATTAGAGATATCTCTGAGTTTTTACTAGTCATAATACATTTGGAGATGTCTTTAATTAATCATATTTAGAGATATTTACAAATATATTTGAAGATATCTCTAATTAATTTACTAATAGTCGAATTACAGTTGTAGATATCTTGAATTGGATTTTTGACGAGTCAAAACTCATTTAGAGATATCTGCAAATATTTTTCAATGGAAGTCAATGGAGGAATATGACTAGTCATAATATATTTGCAGATATCTCCAATCTGATTTCGTATTAGTACAATTGTAATTGCAGATATCTCTAATTGTCATTCTGACTAGTCGAATTATAATTATGACTAGTCAAAATATAATTAGAGATATCTCTAATTATATTTATGGATAGTCAGAACAAGGTTTAAATGCTAAAACGGCTTGCCATACGCTCTCACTCAGCAGCACAGTGGAGATTTCTCTAGTTATATCGTTTCAGTCGTTTGACATGTCGTCAAATATTTCGCCAAACAGTCCTTAGGGATGCGGGGATACGCAGTCAGATATTTCGCCGAACAGATCCGCCACTTTTGGCGCTCATAAACAATCATTAAGCTCTCGTGCTGCAGGAATGAGGAGGTTTTCTGAAGGCGCGCAGCTGGCGTGCTGTGAGGAGTTTGCGTCTTTAATAAACTGCGGCAGTTTGCGTTCACTGAACAGTAAGAATGATTAATAAATCCATATCAAACAGTCCTTTAAAAGTCACGTCTCGCTTTCGGTTTCGGGCTTTGGCGCGTTTTGTACTCACACACAAGCGTACCGCGCCAAAGCCCAAGTGTACCGCGCTCAGGCACACCTCTCCCAACCGGGCCAGGGCCGGCCAAGTGAACCGTGCTTGAGCGCGATTCAGCGCACTCACACTTCTCAAACGATCAGGGGAAACGGGCCTGGGCACGGTACGGAAGGCATAGTGTGAGTAGGCCCTTACTGTAGTATTGGTAACCTAGTAACCAACAGTAAACAAGGCTAGCATCATGGCGACAGCTGGTTAGTTATGTGGGGTGTCACTATGACAGACTATTCAGACAAGGCATTTCCATCTCCCATTATTTGGATCAACACCTTTTTTTCCACAAATTAATAATGTCAAATCTTCAATCGAATAAGGCATTTTTAATCGAAATGTATTATTCATTTCATAATTTTGTTCTGAAAAAAAGTCACAGATATGTTTGAGTCATATTTTATCGTTTTAGTCAAATAATTGTAAAGTAAGTTACCACAGAATAAAATCATACATGTTTTCCCTTAGTCAATCAAAACAGAAAAGCAAAATAGAAAGATTCATTTATTCATTTTCCTACAGATTAGTCTCTTATTTATCAGGGGACGCCACAGTGGAATGAACCGGCAACTATTCCAGCATGTTTTATGCAGCAGACTCCCTTCCAGCCGCAACCCAGTAATGGAAAACATGCATACACTCTCATATTCACACACCACGGCCAATTTAGTTAATCCATATTACTTATATCGCATGTCTTTGGACTGTGGGGGAAACCGAAGCACCCAAAGGAAACCCATGTGAACACAGGGAGAACATGGAAACTCCATAGAAAAATGCCAACTGGCCCAGCTGGGACTCGAACCAGCAACCTTTTTCCTGTGAGGTAACAGTGTTAACCACTGAGCCCCCATGCAGCCAAGAAATAAAAAAAAGGAATTATAACCGTTATTACAAACAACAACCCTCAATTAATTTATCAAAAAATTGAGCTTTATTAAAAATCTAAATCTTGTGCAAGTTTTGTTGGATTAATGTTAACCATTGAGTAAAGTTTTATAAAAAATGTACATGCCTTTCAGAAAACAGTGTGTGTAATCACACACACACACACACACACACACACACGCACACACACGCAGATTAATGATTTTATTAATTTTTCTTTCAGATTAATGTTGTCAAAGCCATCGTTTCCCCAAACCACCCACCGTCCCACTGAAACACTGCTCACTTCCTCTCCAGCTGGAGGTCGAGCCCTGAAGGTTCGCACGAAGACAAAAACAATTCATTCATCACTCAAACTGATGCAGAGAGCACAGGCCTCAATGATGACTCACTGTTCACACTCACGACACCAGCGACAGTAATAGACTGAAAATGTCAGAGAGCTTCTGCATTCAGGAGTTTACAGCATTTCAAGTCTGCACCATTAACTTGTGGAGCTCAATGCCTGACATTTTTAAAGTGGCACCAGATGTTGCGTTGCACTCAAGTTACATGGAACCTAACAGCTGGCTTTGAAAGGTAGTTCACTCAAAAAAGAACATTTATTCTCACCATTTACTCACCTCATGTGGTTGCAAACCTTTATGAGTTTCTTTCTTCTGGTGAACACAAAAGAAGAAACAAATATGGGAGTAAAGTGCTTCCGTCACTGGAAATCTTTTATGTTCAACAGAAGAAAGAAACTTCAGGTTTGGAACAAGTGGAAAGTGAGTAAATTACAAAATGCTCTTTTTTAGGTGATCACTTTAACAAACATAACATACAAATTAGAGAGATATGCGAATATTTGTATAATAGTGCATTGCCCAACACCCTATCATACATCCGGCGCAATGCAGCGCAACATGCGACGCAATAGTTGTTTGCTAGTTTCAGCTTGGCGCAAGAGTCGTTTTGACATTTTGCACCACGCTGTTTAAATAGCAAATGCATTTGCACTCATATGTGCGCCCATAGGCCTTCTGATCTAAAAAGGGAGGCGTACTGAGGCGCACTGCTGGGGCGTTACTGTTTTGAGAAACTAAAATAGTCTGTTCTATAGACCAGAACAAAGCCGGTCTAAAGTCCAGCACAGAGCGCATTAGTTGTGCATTTTGCGCATGGATCGTCAAAATACAGCCCTTAGTTTTAGTTTCACTTTAAATACATTTAATATTATTATTTTTTAAAGATTTATTTTCAAAGTTTAAAAATGAATATTGAAATACGAGGCGTTTTTCTTTTTCATGGTGAAAAATGGAAAAGCAAAATAAAAAATACTAATTATTTTATTACTTTTTATTTCGAATAACAACAAATAAAATCAGAAAACAAAAACGAAAATCAAAAATCGGCTTGTTTTTTTGTTTTTTATTATCCGTTTTAAAATGAAAACCCAATAACCAAAAGATACACTGACCAATGTCCACGAGCCAGGACTTAAACTTAGGACTCCCGGAGCGCTTCAGTACCACAGGTTGTCAAAAAAAATACATGTTTTAGGCTTTTAAGGCTGCCAGGAGCTTTTTATAACATTTTTCTTCATAAAATTATAAACTTTGACTTGCATACGACTGTGTCTTTTCTTTCTGTTTTTAAATATTATGTTGGGAAATCTATTTAGAGTTTTTAAAGAAGATGTTTATTTTAATTTATACATTTTTAGACATTGCATTTACCATTATTAAACTCTACCAAACTGTCTAGATATCAACATCTGATCTGCAATTACAAAAACAATATTTGCTGACATTAAACTGTTTGTGTAGCTGGAACACAACATCCACCGATCAGATGTCGCTGCAGTACTCACTGTGTGCTGGTGAGAGATGCCACTGGCAGGTGGGACGCCGTACAGACCACCCAGCTGTGATGAGTGACCCTGCAACACATGAGACGGAGCAATTATTCTAATGACTCTTTTATTAGAGTCTTTCATTACACATTGATATAATGAGATGACAGGACACACTCAATGAGTTTAAAAGTCAGTTCTTACAAGTTATATATACATTTATACAACGGTTCTGTCTGGTTCTCGAATCTGATTGTCTGATAGCATTTCAATAATCTGCAATATCAGAACTCCAACAGCCTCCTCACCCTTTTGTATTACTCCGCCCAAAGAGTGACAGCAGATCAATGAACTCACTACAGTTTGACAAATATTGCAGCTGTTGGACAACATTATGTACATTTGAGGCATTTTTAGCCAATAATGTAGTTGTTTAGACTGCAACTATGCAGTTTATTTATAAGGATAGTGCCTATTTTAAATATTTTTAATTTCTAAGATAAAAGCCCTTGGAGGAGAAAAACACAGCGTAATTTTAAATTACAGCTGATCAAATCATTATAAAACTGGTAAGTGACTTTTTAAGTCGATCTTTCTCTTTTGTATGTTGCAGTGCTGCATAGTAATTGTAAGCTGCAAATGTAAATGAATGTCGGAAGAAAGTGGTTCCTCGTAACAAAGTGTTTTTAGACTCTCCAAGTTTGATTTACTTTTTTATATACACGATTATGCGTCGAACTGTTGTATAAACAAAATATCACACTCGTAGCAGTGCGATTTGACTGAATATCATCACTTGTGAGCCACCAAGGCACTCAGTCGGACGCACATCTCCCAACAGTGCCAATATACAGCCATATCACACTGCTACGAGTGTGATATTTCACTTATATGTATGTGAAATATCACACTTGTAGCAGTGCGATATGGCTATATATTGGCACTGGTGGGAGGTGTATGTATATATATATATATATATATATATATATATATATATATATACATACACACAATTTCAATTCATTAAAAAAATTGGAGCATTAATTTTAATAAACAAAATGTGCCATGTTTTCAAATGTTCATATTAACTTTTAGAGAACACAACACCCTGTTTAAAATGCTGGAGAGAAAGCGATAAGGCATAACCTTATTTTCAATCATATCAGATGAAAATGTGTGCTTGTTTATTTGGTTTACAATTATACAATTTGTAGTATGTCATGAGTATGACATTGGTATGACAATTTCAAGGTGGTTTATGAGGACCTGCCATGTGTTTTCATAATTCAAAATGCCTCAAAACCAAATGTATGTCGTTTGACATTCACAATTTTCCACAGGTTCCTGTGTCAAATAACCAATTATCAAATATATAATGCGTTTTTTATGTTGTTTACACATTAATTTGGAGATTAGATCAAAAAAGAAGTTCATATTTACGTTAATTGTGATTAGTTGCAGAAAACAAAAACAGCCCTGCTGTTAAATATTGTTAAATGTATACATTTTAAAAGTTACATATAAAAATATAACTTTCACATATAATAAAACATTACATAAAATATAATCATATATCATCATATAATAAAATATAACATAAAATAGCTCCAATCAATACATTTTTTCAGTAACTTAGTGAAACTAACTACATCAAAAAGAGCATTTCCAGGCTAGTTATTTGAAAAATCTGAATGAGAAGCTGTTACTAAAATACTAGCTGACTGTTTCACAGCCATCCTGATTTGTCATTGTCAATAAATGTTAAAGTTACTAAGAAAGCTTGATATACCATGAGGAAAGTATATGCACCAAAAAAAAAACTATTGTAACAATTTACAATAAATGACTCTGCAAGTTTTACAGTAGCACTGATGATGAGAAAACCCATCGAACACTCTTTCAGTAATGATTGCTGTCTCGCTCGCCTCCGCACTCTTTCTACCTTCATGAGTTCACTCGTGAGCCGTAAGCTCTGCTTTCTGACTCATCACTAAATATGAAGGGGAATCCTATATGAACCGAGCGGAAGGATTACACAACTTTACAATGAGTAAGTGCGCAGCATGTTAAGGTGAGTCATCACTGAGAAAGAGCCCATGTGTTTACAATAAGATGGAGAAGATAAGTGCAGCATTTAAATTTGACCGAAGAGTTCTATTTAAACTCACATTTAATTCAATTTTTAAAAAAAATAAGAAATACATAATAACTTCATCTCTTCCATCAGCACTAAACTGCATCCTGCTAAAACAATTCCGTTTTCCATCATCCTTCATTTAAGCTCTTACCATTTTAAGCAATGTCTGAAACTTAGTATTAGTAGTGCATCTCATATTTATTTTCTTCTTTGAATCGAATTGCTTGTTGTATTCCTTAGAATAATAATGTTTTACTTCAAAAATGTTTGGAAATATGGTGGACAAATAAAACAACTGCTCAAAAAACATTGTTTTTATTTCCCCAAAAAATGAAGTAATGGGTAGCTGATGCTTTGTTTAGGAAATAAATCATTTAGTGACAAGTGTTTCCCCAAAATTGTAGTCGCTCTGTTGCAAATCCATTAGATCTTATAGAAATGGAGTAACAACTTCTTTAGAGAAAATCTGCATTAACAAATGCTTTTGTTAGTGTGTGTGTATGTGTTTTGTACAGATAATATTGGTAAACATATAGACTTTTTTCACATTTCTCAGTAGCAGAAGTTGTCATGGTTGGATAATCTTAGAGCGCAGTGAATTGGAGAGTACAACAAATAATGTTTTTACAATCCTGTTTGCTGAAATAATGAAAGGAAAAACTCCACAATGGTGTTATTAAGACTTTTTGAAAAATGGGAAAATAGTGTGAGACTGATGACGGCAACCAGAGGAGAGAATGTCAAATTTACTCTCAGTCCCAAAGAAGCTGCATTGCAAACACCTTGCATAAGGGGTCATTCATTTTTTTATTTTTTATTTTTTTGTAATTTGACATCAAGATGATATAATACATTCATAAATGCATATAAATGTTCATCCGTTTAAAAAAAATCTAAATATAAAAAAAAACTTTTAAAGATGTAAGATTCCGATGACTGTTAAACCCGTCATAACTGTTTTGTGAAAAGGGTCCATTGTATATACACGGATTTGCAGTAATATTTACATATAATGTAAATATTAAATGTAATCATTTAGAAAATTACATAAACTGTGAAGACGAACTTAAGCTTTCAAAATCATTCAAAGTAATTGGTCAAGTGCTTAAAAGAATTAGGGCACACGGGCAGATAAAGCTGAACAGAACACAGCCAGGATCTTTGCTTCTAACTACAGGTCTAGAGCTGTAGTTTCAACCACACATTGTGCACATGTTCATTGGAACGATGGATTCGGTAAAAACAGAATTGCCGAACTATGTTCATAATGACAGAACTTGCAACCTTAGTTGACTAACAATGGTTTCAGGAAAAGTACCTCTGTACAATTGCCATTTCCAGGAAATAAATGCTTGAAATGACCATATTTTTATTTGAAATGTGAAAGGAATCATTCATTCATTTATTTTCCTTCGGCTTAGTCCTTATTTTAATCAGGGGTTGCTACAGTGGAATGAACCGCCAACTTACAAAGCATATGTTTTACATAGCGGATGCGCTTCCAGCCGCAACCCAGTACTGCGAAACATCCATGCACACTCATACACACACATACACTTGCTATGGCCCATTTAGTTTATTCAATTCAACTACAGCGCATGACTTTGGACTGTGGTGGAGATCGGAGCACCCGTTATCAGATATTTTTGAACAACACAAATATTAACTTTTTTTGACAAAAAAAGGTTAATTCAAAAAGAATTACAACTTTGTAAATCTGTATTTAAAAAAAAAAAATCAGGATGGAACCTTGTGTAATTAATCAATGTGAAGAGTACATAACAAACTTCAGTGCTTCCTTAAATCGTCGACAGAAAGGCCTTAGAGTACTTCTCCTTTTCTTCATTTCAGAGTTCTCGATTTTCAAAAGTGTGGTGTTCTTTTTGAATCACCCTGTATAATAAATCTGGTAAGCCTGGGAGAAAAGTTGAATTTTCAAGTGATACTTTATTTAATAATTCTTATTATAAAAAGTTAATATCCAATATTTGTTCAAAAATATATTGCATTATCAATTAAATATTCAAAATAGCTGACATTTTTGTACACATTTGTAAGAAACAAAATTACCTGTCCAATGTATTTTAAAAGATAAAATGATTGAAATTTGATTTCAATATAACAATATAGTACTCAGCATATATAAGCACACCACTTACAAATCTCTCATTTAAATTAATATGTTCTATAGGAAGCTTTACAATATTAAATAGTGCATATACATTAGATTAGTCAGCTAATCTAACAAAATTATTTACAATAAGTCCAAAAATTAGTAGCTCAAATGTATATGCTATAGAAAAATATTAAATACAAATTTTAAAAAGTGGAAAAATCAAGAGAAGTAAAAAATAATTACATTTTTGTAATTTTGTAGTTTGTAATTTCTTTTTTGCAATATTTTGCTTAAATTTAATTGCATAATCTTTCCATTTTTAAAGATGTTCTGACTAAAGTATTATCTGATCAATGAATCCGTTTTGCTCAAATGCACGAAAACACGTCGCCTATAATCACTGAGAAATGGATACAAATATTCATTTTCGAAATGGGATGTTTTCATGTGTGCTGAGCACTGTATATTTATATGTACAAATATTTCTAAATCAACCGATGAAAAATGAAAAACACAACCAAGTTAGATATGTTATAGGTTAAATCCATTTTCACAAAATCTTACTGTTACGATAACCAGCGATCGCTCTCCGGAGATCGCTGGTTTCCACTATATCCATGGACTTCATTTCAACCTTTTTCTGGACTACATATTCATACATGCACTTCTCCCAGACACCCATGCTTACTCATCTAGACTGATTACACTCGCATCACCTAAGGACTTTCAGAGACTGATTAGACATTCTTCATAAGCCACTCATTCACTCATCCAGTTTGCAGAGTCTTGTTCGCTTCTAGAGACATTACAACGCGTTTCTCCTTGTCTTGTCTCTCCGTGTTTTAGACCCTAGCCTAGTTTATCCCTGTTCTCCTGTTTAGCCGCCTGCCTTTTGACCTAATGCCTGTTATACGACTACGACTCTGGATTTGGCTACATATATCTGTTTACACATGATTTGACCATTGCTTGCTTGACGTTGAATAAACCTGCATATTGGATCTTACCTCCAGTTGTGTGTGTCACCCCCGGCGTTACACTTACTCAATTGAGTAAAATGATGTATTTTATGACTTGAGAGAGAAAACATGTCTAATTACTTGAAAAAGTTTAGGCATAACATACAGTTAAAGTCAGAATTATTATCCCCCCTTCAATATTTTTTCCTTTTTAAATATTTCCCAAATTATGTTTAACAGAGGAGGGAAATTTCCACAGTATGTCTGATTATATTTTTCCTTCTGGAGAAAGTCTTTTTTTTTTTAGCAGTTTCAGCAGTTTTTAACTTTAAGGTCAAAATTATTAGCACCTTTAAGCAAGACTTTTTTCGATAGTCTACAGAACAAACCATTATTATACAATAACTTTCTTAATTACCCTAAACTGCCTTGTTAACCCAATTAACCTAATTAAGCAGTATAGAAGTGTCTTGAAAAATATCTGGTCAAATATTTTTTACTGTCATCATGGCAAAGATAAAATAAATTTGTTTTTAGAAATGAAACTATCAAAACTATTATGTTTAGAAATGTGCTAAAAAATCTTCTCTCCGTTAAACAAAAATTAGGGAAAAAATAAACAGGGGGGTAATAATCCAGGGGGGCTAATAATTCTGACTTCAACTGTACATGATTACTCCAATTATGTCATTATTTATATTTGCAAAAACCAAAAATATGTAACATTTACATTAATATTCAGCAGATCAAACCCCACTTCATTATCCAGTAAGAGCAGCTGTATTTGCCCCTGCTAAATGCAATGCATTCCTGAGGCTGCGACATCCAAACATGCTGTAGTTACATAATAAAGCCCACACCGATGTTTGTACTCACAAGAAAAGGGTTGTAGCCGGTTGGGGGTACGGGTGGGATGCCTCTGGGTCCAGCAGCTGGTGGCAACACTGACAGACCGGTTGAAAAGATGCCCAGGGCGCTCAGGCTCAACCCAGGGATAAGGTTGGATTGTTGCTACAAGACAGAGGAATAACATCATGGATAATGAATGACTGCTCAGTGCGTGACCTCAGGCTATCATGTTTTTCTCTCATTTGAGACTACACAGAGCTGTTTATGTGGAATAACATCTTGTAATATCGCTTCTTCCACGCTAGGTGGCTCTATGCACCCGGTGTATAACTTTAGATAGGATTGTTTTGCCACTTAGACTTGAAAGAGAACTTAAGGTGCATGATTTCACAAGTTCAGTGTAATTGATCTCTTTTGGACTATTTTTAAACGTTAAAATAATTTAACTAAAATAACAAAACAACAATACAAAACAAAATGTGTTGGCCATGGAAACTTATTTAATAAGCTTATGAAATATTTATTTCTACTAAAATTATACGTACCTCCTCAGTTATGCAACAATATATATGTTGTTTCTTTGCTTAATACGTTAAGACAAAAATCAACACATTTTAATAATTTTGACTTTAAACAGGATGTATTAGCATGTATGTAGATGTTATTATAACCACGTATGTTGCAGTGTTATGAATAATCCTAATGGCTTTAAATACACCCTACAATCAACTTTATCAGTGATGAGCTGAATGTACTCAAAATTGACTGAAAGTTAATTCTACTCATTTGAAAAGAGTTTTGAACTCAGTGTTGAAGGTAATGAGTTCATTAAATACCTCATTACTTCAACATAAATGGAGTAAGATCACAGTACTCATATAGATTAGTTTATTAACTCAAATGGTTTGTTGCAATAGTTTCCTTAAACGGTTTGAGTTGCCTTAACTTACTGGGTTTTACAGTTTGAGTTCTCAGTACTCATTAGGATTAGCTTTTAAACTTTTTTTAAACTTTTAAACCAATCGCAAATAGTTTGTTGCAATTTGTTTCCTCAAACAGTTTGAGTTACCTTAACTCTGGGTTTTACAGTGTAATAGCCATTTATAAGTGTTTATATAGCCATCTATAGGTATAATCATCCATTTATTACCCTAATCTTCCTGACAATCATTTACTGTAAAGCAATTTAAAGTGATTTGTAGTACAGATATGTGAGATCTCCATTAACTATTTATCACACCAAGAAACTTTATTGTCATTAACCATTTTTATAATTACACCATTTATCTGTTCCCAATTAACATCAATCTAGATTTATTAACATTTAATTATCATTTTAATTCATTTTGTCATTTTATTCTATGTTAAGCGGCTTTGACACAATCTACATTGTAAAAAGGCTATATAAATAAACTTGAAATTAATTGAACTTTAATATTTCTATATCAAACCACCTAATAATTTATAAAATTTTTAACTACCTTCCCAAGAGCAAATGTAAATATTTTACTTATATTATTCATATAAAGCTGAAATTATTTTGGACCCGTAACTGAGCCATGGGGGATTCCATGGGCAATGTTTAACAATAAAAGCTGATGCAGACATTATTTTTAATATTTTATTGTATGTTTCTCCCTCGCAAACATCCAAAACTTTCACAAAAGCACTTGAATAATTTACTATATGCCTGACAGGGTGCTGACTAATGCGTGAGTATAAACAAAACCGCATACATTTGATCTGATCGCCTGATAGAGGTCTCTTCCGCAAAACAAATGACACACAGAAGACGAAATGATGCGACAGTGTAAGCGAATATGATGATGCCATTGTTGCAGTATTTGCTCTCAGTCTTTAGCACAGGCGGCGTGACGTCATGCGAGTAAACAGGGCAAACGGCGTACATGTGCATGCATGTCTGTTGACAAGATGACAGTGCGTTCTCCGAATGCACAGCAGGGGATGGTCTGACTCAAGGCTGTTTCCTTTAAACACAGTCAATAACTCAGCACCAGTAAACAGACGGGCCTTCTGAAAGCCTCGTCATCTTCTGTAGTATGCTGACTCAAGATTGACCGAATTAAAGTATAGCCAGTGGTTCTGAAGAAAGCCGCATTGATATCAACATCAAAGATAGTGGAATAGTAGAACCATAAACACTTACGTTAATAGCAGCAACGTCGTTTTCGTAGGCTTCCCTCAGCTTCTTCATGATCTCCACCTCGGCCCTACAACAGGCCTCGATGCTCCCCTTCACTATAATGGTTCTCTCCGGGTTATAAATCGTTAAGTCCTGTAAACTGGGGGAAGAAATGAGCAAGAAAGTGTGAGTGAACTGGTATGTGTTTAAGAAATATATGACTACTGAAGGAAATATATGACTGACTGAAGGAAAGCTTTTTCCCTCAGACAATCAGGCTGATGAACACAACACACCCCACACAGACTCTTCAATACTGCACACCATCAATATTTAACATGCGCTGCACTTCAACAAATCCATACTTAAAACACTACTGCCTACAACTATGTGTACACTTAATCATTGTATATATCGCTGTCAATTTAACATTTTTTGTTGTTTTTTGGGATTTTTTTTTTTTGGGGGGGAGTATGCTGTTGTATTTTGCACTGCCATTGTATGTGCACTGTCTGTATTTTGCACTTGTCGTTGTATTTTCTGTATTTTCTACTGTATGAAGCCAGAACCTAAGCTTTTCACTCATCAAAGCACACGTGCTGCTGATGATGTGACAATAAAAGTGATTTGATTTGACTATTTTCTAAATAGAGAAATGTTTGAATTAAACGTAACTAATTTGGTACTGATGTCAAATTTAAGACTTTTCAAGACGAAGAAGAACAAAATATCAGACTAATATTGGGCTGAACGCTAAGGATTTTTTAATGACCCAGCATAAATAAAATCTTAGTTGTCTTTTTTTCCCACTATCCCTTTTAAATAAAATGTATAATTTAAAAACATACATACCATCTGAAAGAACTTTTAAAAATAAATATTAAAAAAATAAAATGGAAAAACACTAATTAATAAAAAAATGTTAATAGTTGAGCAAGTTTACAATAAAAGAATAAAAAAAGCAAAAGAAAGAAAAAAAGAAAAGTTTGCATTAAGGAGTTAATATTTCCTCTTTTCAGTTATTTACTGTGTATTAGAGCTGATATCAACTGAACAGGGTCAGCCTTTGGTATAGTCTAAAACAGGGTTCAGGGTTTTGTAAAAGGATTTGAGAGATCATGCAAATAAGCATGCTAACTTCTCAGGTTTTATGCAGCTAAAGATTTCTCGGATTCACATGTCATGTGATGAAGGAATCACCTGTTTCAATTGATAAGAATGACTCGTTGTGGCTAAAAAGTAGGAAAAGCAATAACTTGATGAGATTTGCAACAGTCAAATCAACTCTCACTGAAATACCAAAAATGACTGTCAAGTGGTTTCGGTTTAGATTTATGTTAATAGCTTTATTAAGTGAATCAAAAACACTGGACCAGAAATTTGTCAATTGAGGGCAACTCCAGAACATACGGAGATAGTTAGCAGAAGACTGCTTACAGCAATGACAGGCATCACTTTTATCAGGAATTTTTTTTTGTTTTTTTTGCTATTTTGGTATTGGTTAATCAAGAGTTCACACTTAGATATGCGTGGCGTTAATAGCAGGGTTGGCATGCTGTCGCAGGAGAGAACCCTGTGCTTGGAGATAATTGAGCCCAAGGCTCCTGCCTGGTCAATAAGCATATAAAAGGGGTCTGAGATTAGGTAGGTCTCGAGAAATCTCCTTAGAAAAAGGAAAAAATTGAGGAGATGGGGTGGAAGGCAGTTTCTTTCAAAACGAAGATAATGCAGTAGGTTAAATTGGTCTATTTATTGTAAGCTTGGATTAATCTGATTGGATTAATCTGATTGGATTATTACTGATGAAAATCCATCCGTGCACAATCATATCACATGCTCCTCTTGAAATAAGTTTATAAAACTTTACCTATAGAGCACTTTACATTGCATTAGGCCATGTCTGGCGCATATAGAGGAGTGGACCATCTTTAAAATATCTTGCCACTGTTCCTTTGCGATGCAAACATCAAGGTAATTTTCCCAAGATTCTTTGAGAGAAACCACAGGATTTACATTTGGTGTACTTATTAAATACATTAAATTAAATTATATTAAATTAATTAAAATTATATATAGTCAATATGGTGCTAAGGAGGGTGGTTAGGCAAGTGGGGAAACAATTTGAAATATAATTTATGAAATGAAATACAAAATATTATTACTATGAGTTACTTGCTTTGACTAAAATTAGAACATTTTTGTTTTGAGATAATACATTATTCTCAAAAGATATTTTTAGCCTATTATTATTATTATTATTATTATATTGTTCATATGGTATGTCGATTTGTGTTATTAATGAATAAAAAGGCAGTGCAAAATCAACGGATACTATAACTAATTAACAAGTTAATAGCAGTGAACCCAATACAGTGCTGATTGATTGATTGATTAATTGATTGATTGATTGATTGATTGACTGATTGATTGACTGATTGATTGATTGATTGATTGATTGATTGATTGATTGATTGATTGATTGATTGATTGATTGATTGATTGATTGTGTAAACAATGGGAGTCGGTTGATAATGGATCCATGTGCAGTTTTATTAATAAGAGAAGTCAGGCAATGCAGGCACAAACAGAAGCAAACGGATGTTTATTCGAAACATAAGTATAGTCAAGGTGAGAGGCAAAGAAGCCAATACAGGAAGCAAACAATGGGAACAATACAAGGGTCAAACATGGGAAAAAATTAACTAGAATGCTTAGTAGTGTAACAGTAAACAACAAGGCTTAGCAATGTGTGTGTCAAATAGATGTATATAAATGGTTATTAGTCTTTAGCTCAGCTGTGTGTGTGCAATCATGGGTGAACCGAAACTGGTGTGTGTGAGCTGCATGACGGGAGTTGTAGTTCATATAGTGTCAGACTTGTAGTTTTGGTGATAATGAATATTGATTGATTGATTGATTGATTGATTGATTGATTGATTGATTGATTGATTGATTGATTGCTTGATTGATTAATTAATTATTTAATTAATTGATTGCTTTTTATCTACCAAAACCATGCAATACTGGAGTATGGGGTAAAATACATATAAGCAGGCCATGGAAACGCATAACACAAGTTGTTTGCACTATATCATTGCAATGTTGTTTTTGTGCTGAATATCAAGAGGGCTTCTACTGCATTTCTACAGTGAAGAATACACTGACTCTGACATTCCACCTGGACAAAATTGGTACTCTAGGTAAAAAGCGAGTTATTTTCGTTGCTATTGAGCGCTGGTAAATGAGGCTGTTTTTTGAAGAATGGCAAAGCAATGACGTCAGGAGTCCTGGTTGGGGCTTAATTGGCTGACTCATTTCCTCAGTTATCTGTGTGATCATCGCACACGTTATTTATTTCTGGTAAATGCATAAGACCACCTGTACCCTGCTGGTCTGCACCAGATCCCAGCACTTAACAGCCTGTTACAAAATGTCGCACTTAGGTCACGCTACAATCAATATTTCAAATACAAAACACAGCATTTCAAGCAAGAGCTGACGTGTTTTTAAGTGCCCCAATAATGCTTTTTGGGATGACATCCATGTAGCATGTTATATCATTGTCTATAAACCTAAAAAATAAGCATAAATATATTTCTTGTTTCCTAAAAGTAGGAATTGATTCAGCATTTTTATGTAAATTTTATGTCAATTTGCTACACATATTTTTAAGGTCAGCCTATGGTTCTTATTGACTGCCAATGGACCCTTTCACAAGACTGTTATGATGCATTTAACGGTCATCATAATGTTAAATCCTTGAAAATGTTTAATATTTAGATTTTTTAAAAACTGTATGTTATGAATGTATCATATTATCTTTGCGTCAAATTATGTGAGGTGTTTCTAATGAAGCCTCTATGAGGTAGAGAGTAAATTTGACGTTATTCTCTTCTCTGGCTGCCATCATCAGTCTCACACTATTTTCCCCCTTTTTCTGAAAGTCTTGATAACACCATCATAGATTTTTTCTTTTATTATTTCAGCAAATAAGATTTTATTTTACAATCTGTTGTAATCTCCCATTTACTGTGCTCAAAGTGTATAATCATGACACCCTCCGCTACTGAAAAACCCGGAAATGTGAAAAGGGTCTATAAACATTAACAGCTTTGACTCTCAAACTTTTTACTGTATGCACTTTTAAAGGACAAGGATGAGGGATCAAATTGATACAGTGAAACCAACACAATTGTAATTGCTTGTATCATTTTATCTTTTGTTCATAAATGCAAAAAAAGGAAAGCTGAAATTCAGATATGGTAATTCTGTTAGTAGTAGGCCAGTCCCCAAAGATGTGCAATATATGACCAATCAGGGCATACCAAACTTTCAAAAAGGCTGGGTTAGGAGAAATATTTATTTCTTATTTTTTAGATAACAGAAAACAACAAAACTATCTACTGTCATATATCATTACATGAAGTAAACACATTTAAGATTGCGTAATTACATTTTAGTCATGCATCTCACTCATGCTTTTAAACAAGCTTTAAATTAAATGAAACTTTACACTTTTTCTCACATTTTACAACACAATTTCTTAATAAATAACAGTAGTAGAATTGGTTTATTTTTTGGTTTTGTTTTGCTTTTTACTTACAGTTAATTTTAACAATATTGCAAAGATCTTTATACCAGCCCGTATCACAGACAGATATTTGTCCACCTAGACCTGTGGAATTGGCCTTTATTAATATGAAATAGTGTATTAGGGCAGTAGGTCATTTATAGAGTTTTTTTTAATTAATAAATCAAATAATTATAAGTTATATGTTGGGTCATATATTTATATATTAGGAAATTACCTGCCCCAAATGGCTTGGTTTTCAGCTGAAAGAAATATATTTGAAAATATGGGCCAAAAATGAATGCTACACTGCACTGTCCAGCAGTATTTAGTACACTGTTTTCACTCTTTCTTGAGCTACCATCATTATTTGTCATTGAAGTAGCTTTCACACCAGACATAGAAAGCGCTGTGCTATGAATCCCATTCATTTTAATGGCTTTTGTTGTGCAAAAGGGGTTTGTTCCTGCAAAAGGGGTTTGTTCCTGCACTGCACTGAAGTGTAAGAGCAGCTGAGCACACTTTCAACTAGCTTGCGTATATGCTGCGATCAAAGTTTAAAACAGCACAATATTACGCTCTGTAGATCTTCTGCTTGCGTACATGTACAGTATACATATCCATACATAAAATCGCCAATTTCATCTGGAGTTTTCAGTTTTAGCCCAGATTTTTTATTCCAGTGCATCCCTAATCTATATACATTTCTGTGTATATTTAGCGTGTATATTTAGTTTTTTGTTGTTTATTAGTGTCATGATACTTTAGGATGCCATAGCATCAAAGTCATAATTGTAGTGTGACCCTACTGCAATGCATAATATATAAAATTAGAATAGTTTGTTTTATATTGTATGGATGTAAAATTTATGTAGGAGACCTAAACAGCAAAATTAACCTTTAAAAAAAACATAATTGGAGAACTTTAAATTAAATAAAACAATAGTAGATTCTAAAAAAAACAATTATAGCTAAAAATATGAGCTTGCTTAATATTTTCCCTAATCAAAGCTATCAAATTCAGCGGACACTTACGAGGAGATGGTTATTTTGGTCTCTGTGTCCTCTTCAATCTTCTTCAGGTTTCTGCCCTCTTTCCCGATCAGTCTTCCGACCAGGCTGTTGTGGGCCAGGATCTTCAGAGGAATATCCTCAGTTCTACAGGAGCAAGACCACATTTAAAGGCCACCTTTGAAGAGCTCCATGAAACACAGCGACTGCAGAAGATTAAGACTTACACCTTTGTGTCTACAGCCTCTTTCTGCATGATGTCCATGATCATGTGGCACGCGGTGGAGCAGCCCTCAGGGGTGGAGTGAATGGTGATGGGTTTCTCTGCCGCTCCTGCGTTCTCCTTGCGATGGATGTCCACCCTTTCAGGAAAAAAGAAATATCCATCAAAAAGAGATCCATAAAAAGCTTCATGAAAAGCTTGTGTGTGTGTGTGTGTGTGTGTGTACTTGTTTTTTATATCCTGGTGGGGACTTAAACCTCAATGCACACAGACTCATGGAGATTTGTGTCATCGTATGGTCCAAAATTGAGATTAAATATGCTTATGATATGCAAAATTAAGTATTTTGTAAATGTAAAATTCCACATTGTTTTTTGAAAGGGTTGGATTTAGGAGTAAAGTTAGAATAGAGGTATAGAATATACACGAATGTATTGTATTGTGTAGTTGAAACATCATTACCTCAATGAGAGTCCGCACCGAGATATAGGAACAAGTCTGTGTGTGTGTGTGTGTGTGCTGTGTGTGTTGTGTGTGTGTGTGTAAAGCATGATAATAATCATTGTCTGATAACTTACATGTAGAACTAAGAATTGACATTTATGGATTTATTATTTCAATCATTTTAAACTTTGTGAATTTGAATGATTTAAAGCAGGGGTGTCAATCTCAGTTCCTGGAGTGTTGCAGTCCAGAACAGTTTAGTTTCAGCCCTGCTTCAACACACTTAAGCTGCAGTCACACTGGACTTTTCTTCCCATAGACTTCCATTCATACGCTCGCGAATGCATCAGACTGTAAACGCAAAGTCATGCGGCAAGTTTTGCAGTTTGCTGCATTGTAAAGTTCAAGCTTGGTGAACACTGACCTGAAAAATTGCATCACTTGACTGCGTGAGACCAAGTCGAGGATCAAAACATGACCTCTCTGGACAGAAATTTAAAATATGGTCCCATTGCCTGCTTTTTAAATGTCTAGTTTTCTTGTTTAACCCCACCCCTTTTTCAGAGCACCGTACAACAGAATGTCGCAAGCTCAAACTCTAGTGTGACCATTTTTGATCACCTGTAGGTCTAAAACAAGCCTGATTTCAAGAGTTCACACTTAGCTGATGATTGGTAGTAAGCTAGTTTGGCATGCTGTCCCGGGAGAGAGCCCCGAGCTCATGAGAGCCTCGAGCCCGAGGCTCCCTTCCGTTGCAGAGCACGAGGGGAGTTTGAGCTCGGGTAGATATCGAGAACCCCCTCCCCCCCACCCCCTTCTGCTGCGTGAGGGTTGCTAAGGTGATGCGTTGCTGACAGAATTGAATCGAATTTGGTGCTAATTTGGTTTAGTCAATTTGCTTAAGTGTCATGTTTTTGGGAGTGTGGGAGGAAACTGGAGGACCCGGGGAAAACCCACGCAAGCACGGGGAGAACATGAACTCCACACGAAAATGCTGACCGTTTGGGTAGATGCCCGAACCGGAGGCATTTTGCTTTGAGGCCGCAGTGCTAGCCACTAGGTCGCCGTGCTGCCCTGTAGACAAAAGAGGCGGCAAAGGGGTGAAAGGGGGGATTCTTCAAGACGAAGATGACTAAAGGTAAGGTGTTTGGTTATTTATACTTGATTAGGAATAGTCTGATTGGTGGTTCGTACATTAGCTTGACTCGGGGCCAGCCGTGCCAATCATAAGCACATGATCCTCTCGAAATTAGTTTATGAATAAACTTCACTTAGCTAAACTAAATCTAAAAACTAAACTGTGCAGAGCTGCGGCCCTCCACTTACCTGTGATTTAAAACTATTCAAATGCAAGAAGACTTCTAAACACTCAATATGACCTGAAGAATAAGCACATATACCCTGAATTGAGTTATAAGTTTTCCTGTTCTTGGCAAACGCCTAAAAATTACAGGGTATCTGCACATTTTTTAACAGAAAATTTAAGAGCTTTTAAGACCTTTTTAAGTCCTCTAAAATGAAAATTTAAGACTTTACCTAAAAAAAAAAAAACAGGAAAATGTTCAGTGTGAACACAGAATGATGTGGTGAAGTATGGCGGCAAATCTATGGCGGCAAATCAATGGCAATATAAATCGAGCGCAGCGGTGATGTTTGCGCGCGAGGAGAAGTGAACCGTGAGCAGATTTCTTGGTTGACTTGGTTTACTTGTTATCTCTAACGCTATTGGCTACTGTGCCTTTCCGGAAGTTAGCCGGGATTGGACGCAAGTTAAAAGATCATCCCGTTAAATATGTATACAATTTGCAAGTCATAATCATAAGAAACTTTCTGAGAACTTTCTGAACTTTATGAGGATTCAATCTCGAGAAACAGTCAAATAATATCCAAAATAATGACTTGGATTCTTGTAACATGACTTTCTGAACCCATTTGATTTGTCCGTGCAGCACTTGTCTGGTTTGTTGTATTTTACTTCATTATTAACCACAACAGCAGTGCTCATTATTACACTTGGGGATGATCTTTCTAGGAAATATTGTCTTCAGAAGAGTTTATTTGCGTTTTAGATCTTTATAGATAATTATAATTAATTTATCTTTATAGATAATTGTTAACATTGTTTGTAATATAGATCAGTGTAAAATATATATATCTATATATATTATATATATTTTTCAATCTCATTTTTAGTTAATGATTGAATAACCTGCATATAAAGACTTCAATCAAAAATGATTAGCCCAATTAAACATAAAAAATACAGTGACAGACATTCAGATGGGTTTTTATCACCACCTATTGAGCAACAATTTAATTTCTACAATCTTCGTTTGGCTTTACTCACTATCCATTACATCATTCCACTTCAGAGGCATACAAATACTACTTTCTATACGACAGGCCCACATCTTAAAGGTCACATATGCAGTTGAAGTCAAAATTAGTAGCCCACTTTTTTCTTGTTTTATTTCGGCAAGAATAAAAGCTGTTTTAATTTTTTAAAACCCATTTTAAGGTCCATATTATTACCCTCTTTAACCTATTTATTTTTTTCGAAAGTCTACAGAACAAACCATCGTTATACAATAACTTGCCCAATTACCCTGCCTAGTTAACCTAGTTAAGCCTTTAAATGTCACTTTAAGCTGTATAGAAGTGTCTTGAAGAATATCTAGTCTAATATTATTTACTGTCATCATGACAAAGATAAAATAAATCAGTTATTAGAGACGAGTTATTAAAACTATAATGTTTAGAAATGTGTTGAAAAAAATCTTCCCTCCGTTAAATAAAAATTAGGATAAAAATAAACAGGGGGCTATTAATTCAGGCGGGCTAATAATTCTGACTTTAACTGTATAGTGGAATAACAGACTAATGGCAATATATTTACTATAAACCTTTGTACTTTATGCACTGCATGCATGTATAGCCTATTTTGTATACTATTGTCCATCCAATTTATTCTGACTTGTTCTTCACAGAAAATGAGTCAAGGACAATGAATCTTAGAAAAAAAAAAGATTTTTGTAAATTTGAACACGTTAAGTTTGAGTTCAGTTTAAATGTAGGTGCTAAACTTCATCAAATGGTTCAAAACACATTTAAAGTCTGAATTATTCGTCCTGATTTAATAGCCCATGTATATTTTCCCCAATTTCTGTTTAATGGAGAGATCTTTTGCCACATGGTATAACTCTCTCTTTCTCTCCCAAGTAATAAAGTTTGTTACAGAAATATATCTCATTATTTTGATATGTCATTATATGACTTGGTCATGATGGTAAGAATAGGCATTATTATGAGATTAATTATTAAAAAAAATATCTCATTATTGAAAGTAAGTCTCCACCTATTATTACTGAGAAAGTAAGTCTATTAGTTTCACATTGTGACATTATGATAAGATATCCTATATAATTTTATTTAACGGGGAAACTAGCTTACCTGCGTCCAATCCCGGCTAACTTCTGGAAAGGTAGAGTAGCCAATAGCGTTAGAGATAACAAGAAAACCAAGTCCCGCCCTAGGACTCACAAAAATCTAAACTGTTTCGCGCGAGCAGAGAGAAGAACCAGCGAGCGAGCGGAGAGAACTGATCGCGCGCGCGCGCTGTAGGCATGACCTCGCTCGCGAGAGCGTACATCGTGCGCACAGATGATAATGTGCACGCGCGGGACTTGTTTTCTCGCGCTGGATCAGTTGAGCGCGCGCGTGAAGATCCCCTGTGCGCTCGCGAGCTGTAATTTTCTCGTGTGTAGACCTGTAATCTGCTCACGGTTCACTTCTCCTCGCGCGCAAACATCACCGCTGCGCTCGATTAATATTGGCATTGATTTGCCGCCATAAGACGAGTCGGACATGATATTTAAGATCCCACATGAAATTTAAGACCTCCTTATGGAAAATTACAGAATTTAAGACATTTTCAGACCTTAAAAATCGAAAATTTTATTTAAGACATTTTAAGACTTTTTAAGGACCCGCGGGGACCCTGAATTATGATAATTTAATCACATATGCGAGTAGCCTTAAAAAGAGTCATAAGTGAATTTAAACAGCCAAGAAAAAAATCAGTCAATATCGTCACCTTGAAATTATATCTGCGTTCTGCAGGATTTTGAGATATTGAGCTTCAAAGTTTTTACATTCCATAGCAAACAGTATATGTGTAACATTTGTTTTTTAAATAAAAAGGTCTTAAAATGTAAACAACTGATTAAAAAAAATCCCATAATGTTAATAAGTATTTAACAGGAAAATGTCAATAGCTCAATTTTGACAAAAATGTCAGATAGAACCTTATATTTCTAAGGTGACGATGTGTGTATCAGTACATTGAATCCATCCACTATTTATATCTTAAGGTAACTGCATTCTGATTTATCTACTGTTTGTATCTGTGTTCAATTCAAATCTAAAATAAAATAAAATCACTTTTTTGGACTGAGTAACTTCTGTAGCTTCAACAATGATAATCTATATTTGATTTTTACTGTAAAGACTGTTATTTATCTGTAACTGAACACCTACATACCTAAACCTCTTGTATCTCTTATTTGTATTATCTACTTCTCTTATCTGATCTTATTTCACCACCACGATGACTGAAGCTCTGTACAAGACTTTTGGCCAGCGGAGAAATTAAAATGGTCGTGCCCAACTGAGTCTGGTTCTCTCAAGGTTTTTTTTTCTTTACTCCTATCAGGTGAAGTTTTTTTTCCCTCTCCGCTGTCGCCACTGGCTCGCATGGTTCAGGATTGGTAGAGCTACGCATCGATGAATTTGCTCTTCAGTGTTTGAACTCTCAGTAATGATTTAAATCACACTGAACTGAGTTAAACTAAACTGAACTTAAACACTAAAAACTGAACTACACTGTTCCAGTTACTACAACCATCTATGTGAAGCTGCTTTGACACAATCTATATTGTAAAAGCGCTATACAAATAAAGCTGAATTGAATTGAATTATTTGTTCTGGATTAATACTGACAGAATCAGTGGAATTAAGATTTTTTGTGTCTAAAATGTTGCTAACGTTATATGTTTATTCAATTCAGTTCATCTTTATTTCTATAGCGCTTTTACAATGTCGATTTGTTGTGTCAAAGCAGCTTCACATAGAAGATTATAGTTAATTGAAACAGTGTCAGATCGGTTTATTTATATTTTATTTATGTTTATTTACTACAATACAGGAGAGCATGGGTCAAAAGCAACTAATTTATATTTATGTTATTAATTTCATGTTTTATGGTTTTTGTGTTGGCAGGGGAAGTAAATTCTGAACTACTGAGAAGATTTATTTAAGCATTGAGCCATAAATGTACATATTTGTTCATAAAAAATAGGATTCTTTAAACAATTTCATTATATTTAGTGTCTAAAATATACTTGTGAACTAATTAACAGATAACAGATTTTCTGTGCTTGAAAACTATAGTTTCATGTAAAATATAATATTGTATGTAATATTCGTTAATGGTCAGTGTGATTTTCTTTTTATAATACTTTTTCTTTACTTAGCAAGGATGCATTAATTAATAAAAAAAAATCAACACAACAAGAATTAGTTTTATTTTAAAAGATATTAAAATAGAAAACAGTTCATTCAAACTGTATTAATTCTCCCAATATTACAGTTTTTACTGTTCTTTTGATCAAAATAAAATTTAACATGTTTTTGATTAAAAACATGTTACATTTTAAGTGTGAATTACATTTATCAATATATTATAGAATTCTATATATGATAGTCATTTTTATTCATTCATTTATTTTCCGTCAGCTTAGTCTCTATTTTAAAGGTCAAACAGTGGAATGAACTGCCAACTATTGCAGGATATGTTTTATGTAGCTGATGCTCTTCCAGCCACAACCCAGTACTGAGAAACACGCATACACACTAATTCACACACACTCATACCCTACGGCCAATGATAGTTCATCCAATTCAACTACTGCACACGTCTTTGGATTTTGGGAGAAACCGGAGCACCTGGAGAACATGCAAACATCACACAAAAATGCCAATTGGTCCAGCCTTGAACCAGGGAGCTTCTTGCTGTGAGGTGACAGTGCTAACCACTAAGCCACCAAGCTAATTTTTTGTTGTTTTTAAATTAAGTAATTTTTTTTGCAGTATACCACATTAACTCTTCATTTATTAATTTTCCTTCGGCTTAGTCCCTTTATTATTCTGGGGTTGCCACAGCCGAATGAACCACCAACTTATCCAGCATATGTTTTACACAGCGGATGCTTTTCCAGCTGCAACCCAGTACTGGGAAACATCCATACACACTCATCCACAGAAATTCACTATGGCCATGTCTTTGGACTGTGGGGGAAACCGGAGCACCCGGAGAAAACCCACGCAAACTTGGAGAGAATATGCAAACTCCACACAGACATGCCTTAACCCTTCATAATTCTCTTATTAACACACTATTCTCTCTCACTTACTTCGACTGCGTCTGTTTGGTGATGTTCTTGATTGTGAGTCCCTCTTTGCCAATGATGGCTCCCACAAACTGTGTGGGCACCAGCATGCGCAGGGGGAAATCTGGCTGCTTCTGCCGGGATCCCAGGGAGCTTCCAGACGTCCCAGGCTGAGAGTCCTGCTCCCGTGAGGTCCTTCCCCCCCGGCGATTCCGGGTCCCAGGCAGAGCTGCAGCAGCATCCATATCCATGATATAAGACACTTTAAAGGAGTAATCCTCAAACGTCTGTTCTATTAACTTCTCCACAGCTCTGAAGACACAGATGGTGACAACTATCAGTGGAACAATTACTTTTTTATAATCAGTAAAGCTGGTATTTTTCAAAACTCAAACAAAGACTAGGCAGTGTGATAACGAGAGTATATCAATGTGGACAACTTTTCAGATAAAGATTCTGTTTTCTGCATCACATGTCATGTATTAGAATGTATGACATTAATATATGATTCACTGACATGTTTAATCTGACATGGATCAAAGAATTAAAATATCGAAGCAAAGGGTAAGTAATACAGCTTTTCTGTTGGTGTATTTAAACTAATCCAGTAACATGGTACGTAAAACAACAGTTTTATATATCAAAAATCTTATCATATAAATTAAGAACAGGAATCATTCGATGACTACATAATACAAAGACGCTATGAGGACCCCAAAATCACAACATGGCCCCAAAACATGATTTAATTATCATTTATTGCCAATAATTTTCCCTATCCTTAAGACCAGCAAATTTTAAAAAATCCTTTAAAATATATTAAAACTGTTTGATGCCGTATTCCTTTAAATATTTTAATGAATACATGTCTAATTAAGGATGTTTCATATTGTACATAAATATGTTAGGCTGATGATGGAACATTATAAAATCATCAATATTTTTATTTTCATGCAAGTCATGGTAGGAACAGACACTTCACTTGTATTTATTATACTTTCTATTAATATAAAAATGCTATTTGTTATATATACAGTTGAACTTGGAATTATTAGCCCCCCTTTGAAATTTTTTTCTTTTTTTATATTTCCCAAATTAAGTTTAACAGCAAGGAAATTTTAACAGTATGTCTGATAATATTTTTTCTTCTGGAGAAAGTCTTTATTTGTTTTATTTGGGCTAGAATAAAAACAGTTTTTCTTTTTAAACACCATTTTAAGGTCAAAATTATTAGCCTCTTTAAGCAATTATTTTTCCGATAGTCTACAGAACAAACCATTGTTATACAATAACTTGCCTAATTACCCTGACCTGCCTAGTTAACCCTTTAAATTAGTTAAACTAGTTAAGCCTTTAAATGTCACTTTAAGCTGTATATAAGTGTCCTGAAAAACAAAATTTACTGAAAATGTAGTCATCATGGCAAAGATAAAATAAATCAGTTTTTAGAAATGAGTTACTAAAACTATTATGTTTAGAAATGTGTTGAAAAAATATTCTCTCCGTTAAACAGAAATTGGGGAAAAAATAAACAGGGGGGCTAATAATTCTGACTTTAACTGAACAATAGTAATTTCTGTCAATTTTCTTTGAGTCAAAGACAATAAAGCAAAAATTAAAAGCAATTTTATATGAATAGAAAGTAATAAATACATTAATAAATAAATCAAATATATAATAAATAAATCATTCAGCGTAACATACACTAACCAGCCACTTTATTAGGTACACCTGTCCAACTGCTGGTTAAAGCTAATTTCTAATCAGCCAATCATATGGCAGCAACTAAACACAATTAGGCATGTAGACATGGTCAAGACAGTCTGCTGCAGTTCAAACAGAGCAGCAAAATGGGGAAGAAAGGTGATTTAAGTGACTTTGACTGTGGCATGGTTGTGGGTGCTAGATGGGCTGGTCAGAGTATTTCAGAAACTGGTGATCTACTGGGATATTCACGCACAACCATCTCTGGGGATTACAAAGAATGGTTTGAAAAAGAGAAAATATCCAGTGAGGTCAGAGGAGAATGACCAGACTGGTTTGAGCTGATAGAAAGGCAACAGTAACTCAAAATAATCGAAGTATGCAGAAGAGCATCACTGAACGCACAACACTTGGAACCTTAAGGCAGATGGGCTACAGCAGCAGAAGACCACACCGGGTGCCACTCCTGTCAGCTAAGAATAGAAACTGAGGCTACAATTCACACAGGCTCACCAAAATTGGAAAATAGAAGATTGGATAAAAAAAAAATGTTGCCTGGTCTGATGAGACTTGATTTCTGATTCAGATGGTAGGGCCAGAACTTGGCGTCAACAAAATGAAAGCATGGATCCATCCCGCCTTGTATCAACTTTTTCAGACTGGTGGTGGTGATGTAATGGTGTGGGAGATATTTTCTTGGCACACTCTGAGCCCATTAGTACCAATTGAGCATCGTGTCAACACCACAGCCTACCTAAGTATTGTTGACCATGTCCATCCCATTCGTGACCACCGTGTACTAGAGATGCGCGGATGGGCTATTATTTCATCCGCAACCGCATGACAAAATTCATCATCCGTCCGCCATCCATCCGCACTAACATTTTTGACCAATTTTTAAAACCGCACCCGCCCGCCATCTGCTGATTGGGCTCTTCATTTAAATGGCTTATTCCTTTTTTTATTAAATGAATGTTTCTTTATTGCTCATTATAGAATAGAGATTGACTTTACTGTAGACATGCAGTTAATCCAAACGTGCAAGTCATTAATTGACGACGCTTTGAAGTGACGCTAAAGATACGAGGACGTGTCTTTTCACTTGATTCGATTCATCGGTCCTTAAGTCTTTTCCTTGCGTCCTTCCCTCGTATCCCGGCGGGGTGGAAACACGAGGAAAGAAAGCAAGGAAAGGAAACGAGGATGCACAAATAAGAAATGAGAAGCACCCGAGCTCTCATCAGCAGTGAACTCCGTCTCCAATCGGCGCACAGGGACAAAAGTAAATAAATAGCCTAAATTAAACGCACTGTACTGTACAACTTTTTTTATTGTAGCCTAATAGAAATTAACGCATTGACACATCATTTCAACATGCTGCTATTTAGCCTACTACTAAATGCCTATTTTACTTTATTTTTTAGTAAATAGATAGAATACTAAGTCATTTAGATTATAATAATGTTTACATTTGTAGTTGTCCATAGCAACCCCAAAAACGTACCTGATTGCCTTGCACATCTAATTAATGGGCACAGTTTTTCGACTATTTTTTTATTTATTATTTTTTATTTTTTGCTGTGGATGTTATTGAGCTTGTAGAAATCGGAAACAACACCAGTTCTGCGACACAGATTAACCTTTATTGATATCTCTATCAGACAATACCTATTTTATATGCCAAAAGAAACAACAGGCAGTAAAAAAATATTAACATAAATATCTTAATGTAGGCATAGGCTATAGTCGCATGCTTTGGCAAACAGTTGAAATTTTTTTTTAATAAAAACGTCATATCGTGCCTAAGCCTTATAGGCTCAGTCACCCCCACAATTAGAAATTAAATTAGAAAAATAGATTTGCCATCCCTCTTTGAGCGAACATAAAGTCTGACCAGGCTAAGTGCATGTATGACAGTGTCAGGATTCAGACGGGAGCGCCTGCATAGCCATAATGCGCCCTGCTGCACTGAAGGAGCGCTCGCTCGCAGCACTTGTTGCTGAAATGCATTATAATTCTCTTGTAAAGGTGCTACAGCCGTGGGAATAACTGGTCTTATTTCTCCCTAAAGGAAAGTAGATTTTCCTCTGCTGATCCGTCTATACGGAAGTTTGTAGAGGAATACTTCTGTACTTCATCCAGAATTAGTGTATCCGATTCCTCCTCCCATTCTGTAAAGTCAGTCCTAGGCTTTTTCGTTGGTGCGCCAGCTATGCCTATAAAAACAGTGCAACCGCCCGCCACCCGCCCGAATTTAATTAAAATATAATTTTTTCGTAACGTCATCCGCCCGATCCGCGGTTTATCCGCGGAGTCCGCGGCTATAACCGCCAACCGCGCATCTCTACCGTGTACCCATCTTCTATGGATTGTGGTGGAACGGGAGATTCGCAGCATGGATGTGCAGCCGACAAATCTGCAGCAACTGTGTGATGCTATCATATCAATATGGAGCAAAATCTCTGAAGAATATTTCCAATACCTTGTTGAATCTATGCCACAAAGGATTAGGGCAGCCCTGAAAGCAAAAGTGGGTCCAACCCGGTACTAGTAAAGTGTACCTAATAAAGTGGCCGATGAATGTATGTAAGTATGTATGTATATATGCAAATGTGTGTGTGTTTTGAAAAGGTCAGTGTTATTCCACCAGATAAATTTAATTACATTTAATTCAATAAGTAAATTAAAGTTAAGCCTTCTGAAGTTAAAACATTGGTGTGGTGTTGTATATAAATGTGAAATCTGAAAACATAGCACCTTTTCAGTTATTTTATGCAAAAACAAACAAATGTCTAAACGACATCTTTATTTGAAAATGAAGAATCAATGCTTCAGACTCTTACACTTTAGCCTCCTCTTTCGTCGAGTACGTCACATTCACCACTGCTGTTTCAGTGTCAGTGTTAACTGCAAGAAGAAAGAGCAAATGAAATCAATTCCATATTTATAAACAGGGACCTTGTGCTTATTCATAAGCATGTGAGACTGCATGCTGTTCTATCAGGTACACAGACAAACAAACAGTTTTACACTAGTGCTATGAAGAGCCACTTGAGTGTGTCTGCATAGAAAACGAGGATTGCTATTCTGTGGCCAGATGTGTGCTTCACAGGACAAGTACAAAACAGCCCTAATGTCCACAGATCAAAGCCCTGTGTAGCACCTAAATACAGACACAATGGCTATGTTTACATGCACCAATCCAGTACAAATGAATATTTTATATGTGTTTTATATATATTCCGATTAAAACTTGTAATCCTATCACAACACGGATGTGACAACAACATAGCTATAAAATAAGTATACACAAGCATGTTTTCTAAATATAAATACTGTATATGGCATACAAATAGGCTAGGCATGCAATAAGGTGAGCTGCATGATTCCTCGTCCAGGATTTCTTCAGCTTTAAAACTCATATCATCAGCAACCAAAAGTCATCTTCTTTTGAATTGATTTCGAGTTTTAAGTGTGAAAACTAAAAGAATTGATGGTATTCATGGTCTGATGAATGTAATTTGTTTATTTAAATAAGAATTGCTATATAATTCTGTGCTTAAACTGAGGAGAATGGCACCTCATTGTACCCAGTTTCTAAAATAACACTTCACTATTTGTTTGCAATTTAATGGATGTTACTCCCATAATTCACACAAAGCATCACAGAGTTTAGGAAACACTTGGATTACACCTCTTGAAGGTCAAACTGTATTATATTCTCTGAAGAGTATAAAATCAGACCAAACAAAGGTTTTGCTACATTATAAGTATTTCACTAAGGTCATTTCAGTAATTACAGAAGGAAGCCACTGCAGAGACTTTTAAAGAGTAAATGTATGCCGCTGTATTGATCAGATGTAGTTGTGTGCCTGGAGGACCAGACAGTCTGTCTGGAGGAAGTTGAGTGGGACGACTGGCAGAAATCCAGAGCTTCACACATGAAGAACACCACAAAGCCTTACTGTAAAGCTCAAGCGATAAATCTAAAACAAAATGCAGACACAGATGAAGACACATCATGATAATAGCCCTGAGAAACAAAGAACTAGCGCTGCACTGATGTGTTCATATTATTTTGCTAGATCGGTGCATAAGCTATACGATAACATTGTTTGGATAGTATTTGTTATTTAAACAGTGCTGAGTTGCAATTGTCGGGCTTTTACCTAAAAACTATTTTAAAAATGCACTTCATACAGTCAGCAGCTCAAAAACTTCACTTTTAAGACTTTAAGACTTTTAAGACTTTAAACAGTTGCTTCACAACAGTGTGTGAGCATAGACACCACTAACAGCAAAAATTAGATTTTATTTTTAATAATAAAAGTATTTTTTATTTGTGATGCACTTTCCTTATGCTTGTTCACACCAGATGCAGAACGCACGGATAAATCATGCTATTTGCGCGTAAATAGCCGCGTGAACATATGAGTTTACTCGCTTCATTCGCGTGTGAATCCCGCTACATTCGCGTGTCAAATTCCCATCAGAACAGATGCGGACTCGCGTGATGGGCAGGGCTTCTGTCTGCCCGGTGACTCTAGCTTTATTGCTAAATGGCTAACATGGATTTTATTGAGAAAATAACAGTGTTTAAGTGCTTTATGAAGGCTTGAGAAACAGCCTCGATACACTAGATACACTGGATCCTTTCAGAGGTGTATCCAGCTCTGTGAGCTCATAAACTCGTCCAGAAACTTAACCTGGACGACCAGGGCTTTCATCGTCAAACGCGCTAATCCCTCAATTCGCATAGCGCCATGCCATTTGTGCGTATCGCGCCGCAAGATGTCTATTCGCGCATTTGCATTGACTTAACATGTAAATCACTCCCGCTTGACGCTTCTTCCACATCTGATGTGAACACAGAATAAGACTAACAATAGCAGAAACAGCACAACAATTAATAAAAAGCAAAAAAACAACAAGAATTTGAACCATAAAATAGAATAAAAGTTAACAGAATGATCATCCTAAGTTAAAGCAATACTAAAAGGGTGAGACTTAAGAAGTTTCTTAAAGCAATTCAGAGAAGCTGCATTCCTAATGCTGATGGGTAGTGCATTACACAGGTTGAGAAAGTCTTACCACCCGTGGACTTGAGTTTACCGCGTGGCTAATACAGGGTAAGTCCTGAGGCTGAACAAAGACTGCGAGCTGGAGTGGCAAGAGTCACTAGGTCACAATTGTAACCAGGTGCTAGCCTGCTAGCTTTGAAGGTTGAAATCAAGGTCTTAAAATCAATCTGTGACTTAATAGAAAGCCAGTGAAGATGTTTAAGTACAGGAGTAACAGGGTGGCGTGATGATGTATGTTTCCTGTATTGATCACACCTTGTATAAAGTTGCATAATAGGTCCCCTTTAATGATATTATATAAATACATTTATTTATTTTTAACATTTTGTTAGAAATCAAAACCATATAGATTAAAATACATTTCTATGGACTGTGCACGTGTTTTAAACTAGATTTTCCCATCTTTTCCTGTATTATGAACCCAGTATAATAGCCTTTTATACCGTTCTAGATTTCAATGTACTGCTGAGATCGTCAAAGGTTTAATAAACATATTTCTGTCATAAAACTCTCTGATAGATTTAGTATAATAATAATTATGGCAACATTAATGTGTTATTAATGCGGCATAGATCTGCTATGCTGCTGACTGATTATTGATTATTATTTGATTATTAGTGCAGAGCAAGTAATAAGACTTGCTACTGGTAGTATATTTGCAAACATGCTGTCTGAGAATATAACACACTGCTGCTGCTGCAAACATAACATGCATTCAGCTCAAAGCAGATCTACAGTATACACAGGAGGAGCTGGGGTGGAGGAGGGTATCTGAAAACACACTGCAGATTGCTAACGCCAACAACACTGAGATATTTAAATGCCAAGAACTGCTAGGCAAACAGAATTTAATCTTTACCATTTAAAAAAGTATTTTGGTATGACAGCAAAGTTTTTGGAGTACTTGTATCCTTTAAATGTTCATGATTATAATTTGCAAGCTTATTTCTCAATATTGGATCAAATATCAGAATTCAGAAATACATACATATAATTTTGTTTCAAAGTTTACAAATTGGCTGTATAAACTCATGATGGGTAAGGGCCAATAAAGGGAATTGGGCCATGACACTGGGGTTACACCCCTGACCCACAGAGAGTCGCATCTGAAAGACGGCGCTCACTGAAAGTATAGTGTCCCAATGATCAGGCCAATTCGGTGGATGGGGATGATTGGGAGGTCATTATGGGTAAGGGGCAATGAAGGGAATTTGGCCCTGACACTGGGGTTACACCCCTGACTCACATAGAGTCGCATCTGAAAGATGGCGCTCACTGACAGTATAGTGTCCCCCTCACTTTACTTGGCCATTACGACTCACACAGACTGCAGGTTGAGCGCCCCCTGCTGGCCTCACTAACACCACTTCCAACAGCAACTTAGTTTTCCCTTGTGGTATCCCTGCTTAGCTTCAGTCAGTAACCAGTCTTGCGCTGCAGGGTGATATGTCTGTAGCATATTGTAATCTGATCAACCAAAATACATCTTAATTTAAGGAGTAAAGGGCAAGACTGGGTCTCAACAGAGAGACCACAGGCACCTATATTTACCTCCTCATTACTACACTACACCTCCATGAATACACACACATTACAGCAGGACCTTCACACCAGACTCTCCTTCACCCTTAATACACAAACTCATCTCAGACTAGAGTTCATGTCTCTATCAAACACTGTTTGTCTGTGACTTTCATTCATTCTCTCTCTCAGTTACGCTGCCTGTGTGTTTTCCCTCTCTCTCTCTCCCTCTTCCTTTTTCGGGAACGACAATTACTAAACCTCAAGACTGAAACGTCTCCACTGGTTGCGAGTGTTGATGTGACCCAAGTGTGGATGATGTTTGATCTGCAGTGAGTGCACACATTGTCTCTGTAGTTCACAATCTGTTTGTAATTCAGATTCATTCACATGGGCACATCAAAGTTCTTAACAGAAAATACCTTATTTTATAATATATATATATATATATATATTTTTTATCAATTTTCAATGACAGAAATAGAAATGGTAATCTAGATTTTAGGCTAAAATACATATGAATGTAAAGGAAAGTGCATTTTTAAGTACAATCACTACTCTTTAATTAATCTGTACTGTAAGCTAACATTTCGTGTGACTTTTTGAATTTAATTGTAGTTAAAGTTATGGTTGACCTGAAATTTAAATTAACTCACTATTTACTCACCCTGATGTGGTTTCTTTCTTCTGTCGAACATAAAAAATAAATTTAAGAGTTCACACTTGTATATTGCTTGATGCTATTAGCAGGTTTGGCATGCTGTCTAGGGAGAGAACCCTGAGCTCTGAGATAATTGAGCCCAGGGCTCCCGCCTAGTCGATTGAGCATGTAAGGGGAGTTCGAGATCAGGTAGTTCTCGAGAGCTCCCTGTGGTAAAGGAAAAAAGGGGGAGAAGGGGTGGATGGGGGATTCTTCAGAAAACAAAGATAAGGGAGTAATTTTTTGCTAGGCTACTTAAAGTGAGTTTGGATTAATCTGATGGGCTAACTATTGATTGTAGATGCGAGACCAGCTGTGGTCAATCATATCACGTGCTCCTCTCGAAATTAGTTTGTGCAACTTCACGTATTATGAAGAACGATGGAAACCAGTAGCTGTTGACATCCACAGTTGGGGAAAAAAATTATATGGATGTCAATGCAATTTCTAACATTCTACAAAATATTGCTTTTGTGTTCAACAGAAGAAATAAACTTTAACAAATGAGTATAAATTCAATTCAATTCAATTCAGCTTTATTTGTATAGCGCTTTTACAATGTAGATTGAGTCAAAGCAGCTTCACATAAATACAGTTGGAGAATTATTCGTTCAATTTATATTATCAATAGGAAAGCAATCTAATTCAAGTGTACATACTTGGCTCTTTCTATATTTGCTAATGTCAATAATCTATCAATAACTAAATAATCAAATGAATCAGATTTTAAGAGTGTGTGTGGGTTCAATTTTGCTTTCACTAGTTCACTAGTCAAATGGTGTAAAAAATAAATGAATCCACACAATCCATCAATTAATATAGTCCTGCAAGCTGCAAGCATATTAAATATTAAAATATTACAATTAACTTTAGTTAAATAACAGCACGTCATACTGCAAAACACTTCTTGAAATGTCAACTATGAAAACAAAAAACACAAAATATAATAGAGGATTTAAGTATAGTCATTTCAGACTATCCAAGTCTTTACCTTGCTCCACATTTTCTACAGTACCATACTGTGCTAATAAGCTGTCCAAAACCTGCAAAGAGAAAAGCACAATTAATTTGCAACACAAAAAGGAAAACATTAAACTGATTTAGACCAATTAAGTTGTAAAAGAAAAGGAAAAATTCACCCTAAAATGAAAATGCTTCCATTACATTGATCATTGCTTGTTATTTTTTCAGACTAACATAAACGTATATATAAAAAAATGCAGTACTGAAATGTCTAAGGCTGGTAAGATGTTGCACCACACTGATGGTAATCTTTGACTACCTGTTCGAAAATGCAGCTAAAGTATAATATTGTAAAAATATTATTACAATTCAAAACAACTGTTTTCTATTCTTAGTTATTATAAAATTATTATTCATTACACCAATCAGTCATGAAAAAACATTCTAACATGCCGATCTGCAGCTCAAGAAACATTTGCTACTTTTACTACAAATGTTAAAATTATTTTGTGGAAACTGATACGATTTTAATTTCATCAATACCTCGATGAAACGAAAGTTCAAAAGAACAGCATTTATTTGAATTATACAAATCTTTTTCAACATAATAAAAGACATTAAAATCCATCCTGTCCAATTGAAGCATTCATTTCTTTAAAAAAAAAAAAAAGCATACTGTGCGTTTTTTTTTTCTTCTTCTGAGATTAACCAAAGATTTTCTTACTATGGGTGAAATTAAAATGTCTGTATTACCTATCATTGAAAAACCTGTAAGGCTAACTTAGTCATGTGAAGAACTTCTTAGCCAATCGCATAATGATTTACTCTCCATCCTTGTGTACTGACATAGAGGCAGCGTTAGCATTAGTCATTATGCTTTTTAGGATACTGATTTCAGGCTTGCCTTCAATAGGCTTTGCTGTAACTTTGCAGTTCAAAAATGGTATATAGTCTTAAAGAGTATATATCCACCGCTTTTTAAATCATTTGAGTAACAAAATGTATTCAATGATCATTTATGCTCTAATCTGTAACAAGTGCCTGTTCTTGTTCAGCTTTAACAATGGCAAATATCAGTATTATATATAGCATGGTACATATATTGGCCGATTGAGCGTGACAATTTTTACAAAGAACCCAAAAACTCAAGAGAGCAACGCAGAATAATACAGAGCCACAGTTTCCAAACACACACACACAAACACACGCACACACACACAAGTGTGTGAGAGTATGCAAGTGGGCCAGTGATGATGTCATCAGGATTTACAACTGGGTCACCAGGGCTGAAAGCTCTCCAGACTGATTCGCATGGACTGCAGAGGAAGTGCACGTGTGTGTGTTTGGGGCAGAGCTTCTCAAACACAGAGTCACTCAGAGAATGAAGAGATGCAGCCCAGAGGAGACAAGTATGCTGACCACACATGCGCACACACATGCGCGCACACACATGCGCGCACACACACACACACACACACACACACACACACACACACACACACACACACACACACACACACACTGGATTTTCATGTTTTATAGCATCTTCTCATAGTCATTATAATTCTAACACTGCACAAACTGTATATTTCATCTTTTACACCAACACTAAACCCAATCCTGACAGAAAACATTCTGCATTTTAAAAACAAATGTTATCTGCATGATTCCTCTCTAAAAAATTGCCCCTACGAGGTGATGAATTTCAGCACCACACATACAAACAACCACACGCACCACTAGTTGTCGACCAATATACAGTATATATATATATATATATATATATATATATATATATATATACACACATATACACATATATATATATATATATATATATATATAATTTTTTTTTTTTTTGGAAAGCAGGATGCCCAATGGCCGAAATTTAGCCAATATAATTTTATTTATTGTAATTATTAATTAAATTGAAATTTCATTTAGTTGAATTACATCTGAAATCCTTTAAATTTGAATTTTAAAAAATAATTATGAAGAAATTAAGGAAAGTAAACACTGTAACCAACTGTTCTCTTGGAAAAATGTGTACATGAATCATTCAAATAAAGCCAAGGTAACATTCATTTTACAAACAGCACACGGCAGAAATGACTTGAATATGACTGTGGGCCAATGCATGCAGCGCAGAACAATGGGCTACATGCACACAGACTTTTAATTTTCAGCCAGGCAGCCCAAGGGCTTTCCCATTACTTTCCATTGCAAAAATGTTACGTTTAAGATCTGTTTCTTTGAAAATCATCGATATCCGCTGCCTGTTAAATATACAATATGAAGTAGGTCTCAGATCGGACAAGAAGCACTGCATTAAATTCCATTTCCTCCTGACATGTCTTTAAAATATGAGAGTTTATTTTACCCCAGTATTTTTAATAGAATTTCTGCACTAACCTCTTGCTACTGATGGCACTAGTGGTTACAACGGGCTTTCATTTCGTTTTACTCTTGAACAGCTAATTGAAGGCGTAAGTCTATTTACCTGAATGTATTGTAATTACATTACAACATTGATGGCGTACAAACAACCTTATGAAATTTAAGCTTTCACCGGAAGTTTATCATTGTCTTTAAAACTCTAGCTATGCATACAGTCCATTTAAAATCACAAGGTTAAAGTTTGTGGATAATATATGTCAAGTTAAGCTGAACTCTCCACCTGTGAGCATCCAGTTTACACAGACCGACAATCCTGCAGGAAACAGGTGATCATGCAGGACACAAATGCGCACTTTATAAGATCTCACAGCTGGATCTGACTAAATTTGCAAGGTTTGTGTTTTGTGTAATTGTTATAATACTTATTGTATACATTTTAGTTACTTTGTTTAACAGTTCTATCTGATTATTAGATATACGTCTATTAGTATAGACAGAACTGAATGTCAACAGTGATCAGGAGTGTGAATGTAAGCACAGTGTGCTCAGGCACTGCCGCTCTCAGACCTGTCAAAATAAAAGTCCTGCCTCAAAAACAATGGTCAAACTAAAAAACATACTGGCCTATGCTGATTCTTAAAAATGACAAATATCAGAGTATATATATATTGGCCATGGCAATATAATAGTAAACCACTACCAACACACACAGACATTTGGGTTTTCATATTTAATGAGGACTTCCCATACACATGATTTTTATGCTGTACAAACTGTATATTCTGTCCCATTACCCAAACACAACCCTCAACATTTTAAACTTTTAAAGTTTTTTCATTAGGGCTGGACGAGTTGGAGTAAAAGCAAAGTCTCCGTTAATTAAACATTTTAACCTGATTACGATAAATGAACAGTTGTTTTATTATTTATTTTATTTTTTTTGCTCTCATAATTCACTGACAAGTTTTGTACAGTAAATATGTTCACATTTTACCAATGAGAGATTTCTGAACAAAGGGTGCATTACTTGATTGTAAAATAATTGAAGAAAAAACACAAACTATAATTATTTATTGAACAACTGAAATTAATCCGCGCCGCCCATGCACGTCACCAATATCAAACCGACCAATCACAAAGCTTGTGTTATGCGTTGTCGCAATATGCAGTTAAATTTTTTTGAGAGGTGCATGGGTATGTGACTGCGCGAAGGCTGTGCTGCACAATAAGCTTGCATGCGAAAGTAATTAAAAAAAAAAATTTACCTGGAAAAACTAGATTAACTAATTAATTAGATTAATTCAATTTTTTGGAACCAATTCAATCATGAATATAACCACTTGAATAATTATCTGTGATAATTATGTGCCTACATGACAACTTTCTAGTGCCTTATAATAGTTTCTAGTGTCTTATAATAGGCTACCTTCATGGCTTTGTTGATTTAAAAATTACACCGATTATAGCGCAAGCCAAGATCGGATTTGGATCGGTACCAGCTGAGCTGACTGAAACAGCAAAAATATGCGTTATCCAACTGATATCCGATACAAGTATTGGAGTCAGTGCATCTCTTAATTCAAATGACTTTTCGATTAATCGCCCAGCCCTAATTAACACATTTTCTTTCTATATGATTTGATATGCCATTTTCATTATTTCAATAATTACATGTTTTAATATACTTGTTGGGACATTTTGATACAAGCACACACACTAGGTACACACACACACCACACATGCACATATACACACTACGTTTATACGCACACACACTCACCTCCCACTGGAGATGAGGAGGAATGTTCCGGATCTGAATCTTCCGACTCCTGTGGACACAGAAAGAAAGAGAGAAAGACACAGTGAGACAAAACACAAAAGTGAAAGACAGAGTGAGATCAGAGGATAGACGAGCAGCGCTGTTCAGCATAAACTCTACAGCTGAACACATACTGTATAGAAATCAATCAGATCCAACAGAGACTAAAGAAACAGTCAGGCCAATAGAAGCCAAGTGAAAATCATGTCTGAAAAGAATTTGAAGAAAAAGCTATTGATTTACAATTAAAGTTGTCAATGACACTTTACAATAAGGATTCATTTGTTAAATCAATTAGTATAAGAGATCAAATGGTGTCTGTTCAATGTTGTAAGAAATTAGTCTGCCTCGACCCAACCTCCACTCTAAATGGTGTGTTGATGCTCATTTGCCAAAAGGGTTGAATTATGATAGAAAAAATAAGTCAACAGTTTGTTGTCTCTGCATTGTTTGAGGCGAATACATCTTGACTAAATGATAACATTTATAGAATGGGGATGGGTGGGGTGCACAGAGAACTATAGTTTCAGCTAACAATTTTCTTTAATGGTCTACTTGAGAATATAATAGAAAATCACCAACATCTTGAACGGCCATAGGGCGGGTAAACTGCTAACATTTGTTCATTCATTTTCTTTTTGGCTTAGTCCCTTTATTAATCTGGGGTCGCCACAGTGGAATGAACCACCAACTTATCCAGCATATGTTTCATGCTTCCCCGGATGCATTCATGGATGCCCTTCTAGCTGCAACCCATCACTGGGAAAAAAAACTGCTAACATTATATGAAATATCGATTATATATGAATGTGTATGTAAAGTTTTTTTTTTAGAAAAAAAGCATTTGAGCTGATGTGAAAGTGGCGCAGTGGCACATTAGGTAGTGCTATCGCCTCACAGCAAAAAGGTCGCTGGTTAGAGCCTCGGCTGGATCAGTTGGCGTTTCTGTGTGAAGTTTGCATGTTCTTCCTGCGTTCGTGTGATTCTCCTCCGGGTGCTTCGGTTTCCCCCACAGTCCAAAGACATGCGGTACAGGTGAATTGAGTAGGCTAAATTGTCTGTAGTGTATGAGTGTATGTGTGAATGAGCTTGTGTGGATGTTTCCCAGAGATGGGTTGCGGCGGAAAGGGCATAAGCTGCATAAAAAAAAACGTGCTGGATAAGTTGGTGGTTTATTTCACTGTGGCGACACCGGATTAAAAAAGGGACTAAGCTGAAAATAAAATGAATGAATGAATGAATAAACTGACATTTTTTTAACAAGGTAATAATTAGATAAATAATATTATGCAGTTACTACATTAATATCAGGTATCAAGACAAACTTGAACAGAAATGGTTGTTAACTGTATAAAAAATGTAAAGATATTCCAATAATCTACAAGCAAACAAATTTGTGTATACTGTAGGAAATACAAAAAACAAATCAATTTAATAAGCCAAATAGTAAACCCATACATGGCTAATACAAGAGACTAATTAATATGCATATCACACTATATTTTAATAAACCTGCTGGCCCTGCTGCATTCTACATTTGTTAAAAACCTTTAAACCAATCACAACCCCATTGCATACACTATAGGCATTCGTCCAATGGCATAAGCTTAGGAGAGCGAGTGAGAAAGAGAGAGAGAGAGAGAGAGATGGATTAGTTCAGAGAGAGCAGATCCCTCATTCACTCCTTTGCACCAGAGCGACTGTGTCTGCGCTCCTTCATTCATCGAGTCCGAAGCTACCGACACCAAAGCCACACAAACCGCTCCACCGCAAGCTGTTAACAACTACATTAAAATGAGTGGAACTGAGCTGGCCAGAGGAAAGAGATTTAAAAAGCAGCAAAAGAGAGACGCTGAACGAGATCTGCAGTCATTTTCACTCTCACTTCGTTATGGCTTTTCTGCAGGTACACTTCCTTAGGACAAATGCAGGCTGAACAGTCTAAGGGTTATCAATTACTGATGTCTGAAAGTACTATCATTTGATACTGATTCGGTTCATTGTTCACTGAATCACTTTGAAGAGACTCATAGGAGATCGTTTTATATTTGCTGTATGATAACGTGCCATGGCTATAAAAGGCGCAATTGTACAGCACCTGAAAATTACGCAATTGGCAAATTTCCATCACCATAACCAACATGAACACCTCCTTGCAACCATGGTGACATTTTAGAGAGATGACTCAGAACATATTAAATTTGATTCAGATTCTAAACTGTGCATATACAAATCGGAATAATATTTGCCGGCCGATTTTCAGGTGAATAATATCATTGCGCCTGCTGCAGCCATGGTACAACACCAAAGTTCCTTGATTTTCACGCCAGGATGACAGTATAGTTCCTAGACATATTGACAAAGAAAACAGCAACTATTCTATTGGTCTTAGTATATAATGCAGCTACAGAAGAGTCAAACTTTGAATAGAAAAATTATCAAAAATCTGGTCATTTTTGAGCAAGATGCTAATGTAGGGCTGGGCAATAAAATCGGTATGGATATTTATTGACGAAGACCATTGTCAATATCAATATAAAAGATTTGTTGTGAGGTTTTGGTATAATTGTTCTATAATTTTATAAAATTTATTAAATTAAAAAGGATGTAAGGATGTCGCCAGAGTGGCTTTTTGGTTTCTTTTCTTGTACATCCCAGCCACTAGCTCCCCTTCTGAAAGTTTTTTTTTTTTTTTAGCATAGTTTAGTTTTTTAGCATAGCACAACTTCACAATTTGTAATGTTGCAATATGTTTTTGAATAATAATGAGTAGTTCCTTTACTTGAAAGCTCAGATTTGATTACCTTAATTAGTTTTGTTTACAGAGTTTGAGGTTTACTTTATTATTATTATTGACACCTTACAGATGTTGATCTACCTTTACCATTGCACACACTTTGTAACATTTTATTTATCAAGTTTAAGAATGTCTTTAACGCTTATATTTATTTTATAATAAAGAGATCAGATATTTTGTTTAAATATTTTTTGCTTTTGACTATTAAAACTCTTTGGCTTAGAAATGTAGGTAAATTAAAATAAAGTGGTTAAATAAATATAAATAGTAATATTCTTAAATGTATTGATAAAAAAATATTTAAAAATGATTCATATAGAATGATTTGTAAACATTATATTGTGATCTTTTTGTTTTATTTTTTGTAAGATTGCCCAGTCCTATGCTAATGGTCTAATCCAATTCAATAATCTATGCTAAGTGCTTCTGTCAGACCCGGAGATCAGCTGAATGGATTAAAAATGAAAACAACCCAACTGCTAAACTCTAGCAGTTTTAAAATGAGCCAAAAGATGGAGTGTTTCTTTAAGATCCTTCTTTGGTTGTCAACTAAAAACACAGTGATACTTCCTTGACTCAGGTCTTTACATATTTCTCACCCTCTAACCGGCACACTTCGCATTACTCCAGTGAGTACTGCGCTCTGTAAACCTTGACACTTCAGTCACCTTAGCCTTCAGTGCTTCCCTTCAGCTTCAGCTAATGCTTCGGCCTGCAAACGGTCAATCCTCCTGAGCTTCCTTTGAGAAGGGTGAATCGGGGACGTCCCATCTGACCATGCAGAGTTCAGCTAGCTCAAACCAACACTCTTTATCCTGACCATTTAATTAGAGCTTCAACTGAAACACAGGCTGCGTCTGACACCGCCTATTACGCAGTAGGTACTGCATTCGAATTAAACCGACCACTAAGCCGTTAGAACAGTAAATTCTATACAGAATGAATATAAAAAGAATGAATGGAATTCAGACGTACTACATATGCCATTTTGTCATGGTCACATGACCTACCTGCGCCAGTTGCGTCGCTTTACTCTCATTCTCGAATTCTCTCACAGGGCATCATGAGATAGCACAGCGTGCATGGGATGCGCACTCTAGAATCTCACCGGAAGTAGTAAGTCATCCGGGTTCTTCTTGTATACTGATTTTCGAATTCTATGAATTCAGCCATACTACTCGGCTCGCATAAGGATTTTAGGGTACTATATAGTATGAAAGTATGCGGTTTTGGACGCAGCAACAGTGTCTACCATGAACTTATCAGTGCCTTTTAATACACTTATGTCAATATTAAATGTCACAAATCACTGGGATATTTCTTGGCAAAAGAAAAAAAAAATTATTAATAATACTTTTAAGAAAAAATAAAAACAGAAATGTACAGTTTGTATTTGTCATGTAAAATTTATAATATCAGTAATTCATTTAACAGCCTTTAGGGGATTGAAGTGACAAAAATATCAGAATTCATTTGAAAAAAAAATAATAATAAATTCTGTGTTTGGAAAATGAGTAAAAAAAAACTTATGATTTCCACAAAAATATTAACCAGCATAACTGTTTTCAGCACTGACAATAACAGTAAATGTTTCTAGAACTGCAAATCAGCATATTGATTTCTAAAGGATCGTGTGACACTATATAAATTTATTCTAAAGCATTTTTGGTTTCACTTTTCAGCAAAGTATGTCCAGAATGTTCTTGGTTTCGACCCAAAATTTTAATTGTGCTGTTTGTCCAGTAATTTTAAGTTGTAATAATCATATAAAATACTACATTATTATAAATAATATTATTTAAGATTAAGATTAAATGTTATTTAAATAATGGTAAAGTTGTAACAATAATGAAAATGTGAATGAAATTCACAAAAACACTACAAACTGGATGATAACACAACTCATTTTATGAAATACTGCAGGCCTGTCACGATGCCTATTTTTTGGTTGTACGATATATCGCACCAAAATACATTGCGATGAATGATATTTTTGTCATTTTAAGACCATTTTATGCCACTCATTCTATAATGCCAGAATGACAATATAATAGAATCATAATGCAAGTACACTCTTCCAAACACATCATATTTTACTGAATCAGAATATGAAATAAATAATAAGAAATGTTAAGAAAAAAAAAAAGTATAAAGTAACCGAGGTTGCGATATCTGCTGATCTATTTTCAGTTGTCAGACGCCACATTAAAATATACTAAAGTAATTTATAGTAAATATAGTGTTTTTTAAACCATACTGACCACACTAACAGCTCCAATATGGATAGAGCTGTTGCACAATCAGCTAAAATGTTGCTAGAATTGTTTTTTATGTAAAGGCGATATATATTGTCTTACCAAAAATTATTGAGGTCATGTCCATGTATTGTACGATAAGCTGATATATTGATTATTGTGACAGGCCTAATATACTGTGCAAATCTATTGTATAATAAGAAACAAGATGTACATCAACTCATTTTAAAAATACAAATACTGCCCATCATTTAGAAGAATGTTATTCCACATCTGTATGACTTTTGCTTTTTTTCATACAAATAAAAATACATCACTACTTTCCTGAAGTATACTTTCAAAGCTTTTTGCTTATTAACCTTCTTCCAAATATCTTCTGTTTAGGAAAAAAAAGATGTACAAAACTTGATTGAGGTTCAAATGCAGACGTCACAACATATGGACTTTCTTCTTCTGTTCAAAGTCTTCTTCTTTTTACCACCACAACTATCTGTGTTCTTTTCCTCTCTCCTCCATCTCTCCTCCACCCTGCTGGGGTGGAAAAAGTGACAGTGTTCTCCACAACTCTTCAGGGGCTCCTCATTTTCAGCATGCCTGTGGCAGCAATGGATTACCGAGCCCTTCCTGGACGTGCAAACGCCCTGCTCATCACAGGAACCTCAGCACCAGCATCTACACGTTCACAAATGACACGTGTGGAAAAACCTTCAACTGAGATGAGCTCCGTCACTTGACCGGTGGTGCTTGCATAGGCATAGAGTCTGTTCAAATTGCTTCATTTCTTTCGCCCATTTCCTTACTATCACTCTTACTGCTATAAATAAAACGTCAATAAATGTAAAAAATGTAATACTGAAAATAATATATTGGTATTTGGTACTACATTGACTTACAATTAAATATTCATTCATTCATTTTCTTGTCGGCTTAGTCCCTTTATTAATCTGGGTTCGCCACAGCGGAATGAATCGCCAACTTATCCAGCAAGTTTTTACGCAGCGGATGCCCTTCCAGCCGCAACCCATCTCTGGAAAATATCCACACATACACACACACACACACACACACACACACACACACACACACACACACACACACACTCATACACTACGGACAATTTAGCCTAGCCAATTCACCTGTCCCGCATGTCTTTGGACTGTGGGGGAAACCGGAGTACCTGGAGGAAACCCACGCGAATGCTGGGAGAACATGCAAACTCCACACAGAAACGCCAACTGAGCCATTGAACCACTGACCTTCTTATTGTGACGCGAAAATTTGTATCCATTTCTCAGTGAACATAGGCAATGTATTTTGGTGCATTTAAGCAAAGCAGATTTATTAAACATATATTTATTAAAATATTATTTTAGTCACCAAACGTACCTAAAAATTTAAAAATGCAATTAAATTCAAGCATAATATTGCAAAAAAAAAAAAAAAAAAATTACGACCTACAACAATTTTTTTCATTTATTTGCTTCCCTTGATTTATCCCTTTTTTATGTATATTTAATATTTTTCTATAACATAAATTTGGGTGTACTAGTTTTTGAACCGTTAGAAATGCATTTAGTTTTGCATTAAATGGGTTCGTTTTGACCTGCAACAAGGAGTTCATTGCTGTTTTTAAATCATGTTGCACTGTGTCTGTTAGATCAGCAGATGGCATTTGCAACACCGGCGTATTGATGGTTATTACCTGCTATTCACACACAAAGTAGGCCTGCCTGAAATTATAAATTAGGAAAGGCTCAGTAATACATTGGACAGATTTTCTATTTTTAATTAATGTTTCTTCCCTTTGTGCTGCTCAGTTTTAAAAGTGTCCACAGATACCGGAGGGCTGATCTCAAAAGGAAACATAAGTATTTTATGTTTAGTGGCTAATTCATACGAATTCATACAAGTTCAGTCATACGAAAATGTACAATTGTAAAAAGGAGGCGTGGCACCCAACCCCACCCCTAACCCCAACCATCATTAGGAGCAAATCGTACTAAATTGTAAAAAATGAACAATAGGAATGAATTAGATCATACAAATTCATACGAACTAGCCACTAAATCAAAAAGTGACAAATTGCCGTGAGATTGTGTTGGGGCTGCACGCTGTGTCTCAGTGATGCATCCAGCGCTTCTTGAACTGGCTGTGCAGACGCGATGTGCACCACTCTGTAAAGTTATTCTTTAATATTAAAAGTTTTTGTTCTCCGCATTGTTGTCAAAGCAGTTGATTAAATTAATAATATTAAATATTAAATTAGTAATATTTCACTGTAATTTTACTTATATCAATATTTATTTAGTAGACCAGTTTGTGTTTTGATTAGGGTCAATAATGGTACCCCACTACAGATTTCAAAGAAATTAATGTAGCCTATTGTACATTTTTTAATAATAATGAAACTGTATTATGTTTAATAAATAAATAAATAAAACAGCACAGTATCAGGATCAGATCTGTATCGGTCAATACACAAAATGTTGGTATTGAGATAAGATCGGTTCCAAAAAAAAGGTATTGGTGCATCCCTAATATATATATATATATATATATATATATATATATATATATATATATATATATATATATATATATATATATATATATTTATATTATGACTAAAATAAACTCACTTTTTGCAATGAAAGATTTTGGTTTATTTTAGAGAAAAGAGTTATCAGAAATACCATGAAAATAATTTTATTTTAGAGTTTATTTATGTCGCTCTCATACACACACATAATGCCGCAAATCAGCTCAAACACTGAGGACCGCATATCTGAGGACAAATTTATGTTGTGCCGTCAGGTGGGGGCAGGTTTACTAGCTTGTTATTTTCGAATCTCTTCAGTGAGTATTTGTTTATATTTATGTGTAATGGAGCTGAACCCAATGGCCTTTTAAAACCGGTCTCACAGACCCCTTCACCCCAGTCCAAAACCACCAGCGCTAGACGATGCAGGCTGAATGCGCTGCTTACCGTGTGTTTGTTGAGCGCAACCAAGCTGTCTGCTGCTGGTTTAGAAAAGGGTGCCAGACAACTAAATAAAAAAACACTCTTCTCAATTTCTGCCTCTGAATATCTGAGGGTGGCCGCGTTCATTTGAAAAGCTAATATTTACAGCCGGCAGCTGTAGCGCGAAAGCTAGAAAAGCATGTCTGCGAACACGCTCGCATACAGATCCTCAGATCCATGCGGACGGTTTGCCGGGCAGCAGACAGGTCAGAATAGCCCCATTCACCTTGGGCCAGGACCTCTCAGACCTGCTAACGACCACCGTCCGATCATCCCTGTCAGCCAGACGAAATGATATTCACCATACATAAATCACCCAGCCACAGTGAGGGCACGTGAGCTAATGGGGCGTCACACGTGTACCAACTTTCAGCCATATTTCTTGTCATTGGAGTATGGGAGTGAGGTGGACTTTTCAGTCACATACACAAAAAAAAATCAATTCAAAGGTAATGGGAAAAGACTGCCAATCAGAAAGGGAATTGAAATGAATACATTTAAAGCAGTTTTCGATCAGAGTGACCTCCATTCACCTCCTGATTCAGTGATGATCAAACTAAACCACTATACCACTCCTTATGAAGCTTGCAATATTAACATATAGGGTTTCTAGGTCTAATGAGGCCTCTCCTCATTAGAATTGGGAAAATGCTGTCAGTAGCTGCAGTACTGTTAAAGGTATAGTTCACCCAAAAATGACAATTCACTCATTTTCTACTCATAATCGAGTGGTTTCGAAACTTTATGAGCCTCTTTCTTCTGCTGTACACAAAACAGATATTCTGAAGAAAAATTAAAACATGTAACTGTTGACTTCCATAGTATAAATGATTAAAGGTTTCTAGCTTTCTCCAAAATATTATTTCCATTATTTTCGATGTATATAAGTGAAATGCAGATTTCTGAAAGCAATATTACCCTACTCAAGTATGCTGATGACATGGCTGTGGTTGGATTAATGGTCAAAGCAAAGAAGAAGCTAGAGAGGGCCTACATTGAGCACACAGAACATCGAACCGAATGTGAAATCTGTTAAAACCCAGCTCTGACATTTGAATCCTTTAATCTTAATGCATACAGATCTCTTGGAAGAAGCAAACATTATGATAGGCAACATCCAGAGAAACAAGAAACACACTCATGCAGAGATGAGACATAGTGGCTCCACTCCATATGGGTGGCAGGACACATGCACTCACACTCCAGAGGCTTGCAGAACTGACACGCGGCAGCAGCTCGAAAGCCACAGAGTTCCAGGTCTTTCCTATACATCCCACAGCGCCGCCTCATAAACATTCAAAGAGAACAAAAGCTAAGTCAACATATTCAGGAACACGAAATGAATGAAATGTTATCCTACTACAGATGTTTCATACTATGGGTTGGGAAGCTACACAGACACTGTAAAAATACACACATTCCTGCTTTTTATTTTTATTTTGGATGCACAGAAACAGCCACAATGGGTTCACCCTAACTCTCAAGAGCCTCAAGATAAAGAAGCATCTATGTTTGCAAATCTGTGGGTTATCTTGAAAAGTTCATAGATTTGTAGACATGTTTTGGAAAAGATGGGAGCATTTAGTTCTTGAAAGTCACATGACAGGAAGATCAGAGCTCAGTTTGCTTTTCCTGCAGATGCAGATTTTAGTGTAGCTGTGCTAAAAAATGGTGTGCTGAATAGGGTTGAGCGATGTCGACCAATTTGGCATTGTACGATGTCTAATGTGAAACATAGACATCATAGAAACATAGAAACATTTTACCCATAAACAAATCATAAATAAATAAAAGTTAAACACAAATTACCACCTGTCCATCCCTTTTTTCAACCGGAGGTTGGTCAGTAAAAAAGGTGCACAACCAATAGTATCTGAGGTTTTCACTGAAATTACTAAAAGCACAAGTGTGAAACTGATAGATTAACAAGGCCAAAGTGTCGTCAGATAGAGAGAAGATCAATTAAATATCATGTTTAACAACTATAGTGAGACGCGATCCAGCAGTACATCCTTGATAAACTGTCTGACGTGCACTGCTCTCTGGAGCTAAGAGTGCATGACAGTTTGTGTGTGTGTGTGTGTGGTCACGTGATGTGCGTTTTCAGCGGACGGAGGGCTGTTCAGAAATGCTAGGTAAAACACGGTGTGGATGTGGACCATTTTCATTCTAAAATGCCATTTTAAAACTAAGACGTATTAGTATAAATGGCGACTGAGTGTGTATTTTTCGCAAGCAGGTTTGCGACGGGGGCAGGGCGGAGGATCGGCGATGCCGGCTCAGCATCGTGTTGTCTATTGGCCATCGGCGATGGCATCGTCTATCGGCTCAACCCTAGTGCTGATGTTATTAAATTCCATGTAAACAGGAAGTTGTTGAGACTTTTATTTCAGTTCCTTAACGTTCTTTCAATTGAATTAGAATATTGGGTAGGGGGAGGAGCTTTCTTTTTGCTCATCCTTCCCTCATAGCAAACAAACGGTAAGAGAGGCATGGTTATCGTGGCTGATATTGTGCTAACAAAGGAACGCCACTCCAAACACCGAAGCAAATGGTCAGAATTTGATTGAAGATCACAAAAAATATAAAATAATTTTTTTTTTCACCAGATGAATAACAATGTGCGCTAGCAAAACAAACATTGTACATTTGGATTTCACATGGACTTTAAGATTTGTGTGGATCAATAGTTTGATTAGTTTTGTCTTTATTGTACTACCCTTAAAATAAATTTTGCAAAAATGTGAATTTTATAAAAAGGCAAACAATGAGTTCACACTTTTTAAAGCAATAACAACAAAGCACATACTGTTTTAGGACAAAATGTTTCCAAAACCAGGGGTTTTCAAACTGCAAATCACTACAAAAAGTTACAACAATGAAAACAATAATAGA